GTGGAGTCAACTGCCCCACCCCCTCCCCTCCCCCCCCCCCCCCCCCATCAGTGCGCCAGTGCCCTAACCCCAAACCCTAACCCTCACGGCCTGAACCGAACCCTAGCACTTACAATGCGTAACTATTCTCTTTCCAGGCTTTTTCTCTACTTTGGGCAGAATCCGGAGAATTACCAAAGCTTGGATTGTGATTATTCTGTCCATGTATAATGTTTTTTTACAATCGGTCAATCGTTCAAAGTAAAGTTTTCACAATAAAGTCTAACTTTGAGACGGTGTGAGAGTGGTTGTAAATTTCTATCCTGATCCCTATCTCGTGCAGTGCAGTGGCAAATTACCCTAGCCGCTGCATACAGTCATGATTCATTGGCTAAGCAGTGGCCTCGTTACTGTGAGCCCCCAGGATCGAAACCGTGTCGATGTGCTTTATTAGTGCCCTCATTGTATGAGTCATTAATCCTCATTACGGTCAGTTATGACCTAAGGACGTATGTCCCCAAGTTGATTAGCATAGTAGCACGTACATGCTTTAGCAGTCACGCAAAACAAACTCTCACATATTATTATTCGATATGGGAGTGTCGTGGTCGAGTGGTTTAAGGCGCTTGACTATAGATGCGAAGGTCGAGGGTTCGAATCGCGACACGGCACTAATATCCTTTGGCAAGATATTTATCTGTACTTGCTACTCTCCACCCAGGTGTTAAATGGGTACCCGGTAGGATGCAAACGTTCATGTGGTTAGACGAGCAAGTGTGCGCTTGTAAAATGGCGACTGGCTGGAATGCTCCCCAGGGAGTGGAAAATGTGCACCCATTGTGTGCGGGTAAGCCTGAATCCGATGACCGGGGTAATAATATATTTGTAAAGCGCTTAGGCACATCGTTGGATCGGTGTATTGAGCGCTATATAAAAAAACGGACTATTATTATTATTAATAAAATCTGAAAATATGTACTATTATTTAGATCTATAAGGAATAAATGATTGGCAAAATCATTCCATAAATTGGGGTAAAAATAATTATTCCACCATTATGACCAACAGTGTACATGCATATGCCCCAGACAAACATTGAACCCCCATATAGCCCATGTTTGTGATTATTTTTCATAATACGTATCTCTATACTTTATATTTTTCATATACGTATTCATATGATGACATTTCTCCTCAGCACGATGGGAAATGCATGTAGGCTGCGAACCGAAGAGACGACTGAACCCTCGAGTGATGACACACCAAGTGAAAGGTACAAACATGTTTAGCTGCATTTTAGATACATGTATAAGCCCCCCCCCCCCCCCCCCACACCTCAAAAAAAGTTGTTTGGTTGTCCTCGATTGCTTTTCTGGAGTAGAGGCATTTGGGCGGATTTTTCATTTTTCCTTTTTGTTTATGTTAGTACATGTTAGGATTCGAACCCTGAACCCTTGGATTAAAGACCGTCAATACGACTGGGCCAGAGGGGATTAGACCACACAGCGAGGTCACTGACAGGTGGCTATCTCATTAACTCAGATCTCAACTAACATAAGAAAAAGAGGATCATGGGGGACCAACAGGCACCGATTGGGGAAGTTTTCTATATCGAGGGAGCAATTAGCTACAATTAGGACAGTGGGGCCTTAAGAGTCGTGTGAATGACCCAGTATACCACTTTTATCATTGGACGTACATGCACATGCATGTAGTGCCATAGGATCCAGGATTTGAGGAGTACACAAAATATCTGAAGAGCAGGCAATCAAAACAAAGGAAAAAACAGTTACCCCATTCTCTAGGTACCTTTTGTTTCAACATTTTGAAGGGGGACATTTGTGGATGGTTGAGTAGTTAAGGTATGCCACTTTGACTTTGGTTTCTGGAGGGAGAGGGGGCATTACATGTATATAGTTGTGCCTACTCCTCCCAATCTGCAAGTGTTATGAACTATAGAAGGTCCCTCCATTACATAGCTGTGTACAACACGATTGTAACTGCTTTCTATAAAAATCAACCTCGAGCAATTTCAATACCCTTATGCGTCACCTATTGAACTGGGCAAACATGGCAATGAAGTATTATGTAATCCAAACATTTGAGTTTGTTTTTCAGAAGTAGATGTACAGTTGTATCTTGCTCATCAGAAATAGGTGTTCATTTTTTTCAGCTAAGTATTCTTGAGTCATAGTTTGGATGTATTTTGTAAAATAGAGCCTGACCATAATTATTTACATGTATAGTACATTGTGGTACTATATACAACAAAATATTTTGATTGTATATCGTTTTAGAACATTAAAAAACAAAACTTTTCAGTGTGATACGGTTTTCATCCACTGGGATGAGATTGAGAAATCATAGGCAGCCATCAGCAGAACATGTCTTAAATTCATGTCTTTTACATTTAAAATAAAATGAACTAACAAGCAATTTAAGTTCTAAGAAATATGTGTAGTTATTGAAAGTTATTCAACTAAGAAACATTTGAAGTCTAATCGAAAGATGAATTTAGTGAGATGAAAGATATTGCCATCGGTGACATGATTGCCCTCTACCCATTGTACAATAGTGTTTGTTCGCATATGATCATTTACCAATATTTCCCAGAATTTCTCGGGAAATTGCCAACCCTGCATGCATTACCATAACATGCCATGGAATCTTTTTCTAGAGGCTTTTGTAATGTTTGGCTGGTCTACTATAATGAAACCTATATAAGAAAGGATATATATATATATATATGTATCTAAATACGTATATACACTCTGTATGTATATATATATATATATATATATATATATATAGGTGTCGTTGACGAGTGGATATGTCACCGGACTGTGGATCAGAAGGTCCGCGGTTCAAGTCCCGCCGCGGCACTAATGTCCTTTAGCAAGACATTGATCTACATTTGCCACTCTCCACCCATGTGTTAATTGGGTACCCGGTAGGATGCGAAAGTTAATGTGCTTAGATTATCAAGTGTGCGCTTGTAAAAATTACGCCTGGCTGGAATGCTTCCCAGGGAGTGGAGAATGTGCATATAGTGTGTGCGGGTAAGCCTGAATCCGATGACCGGGGTAATAATATATATCTGTAAAGCGCTTTGAGAGGGCCTTCGGTCCTGAAAAGCGCTATATAAGAACTAGCTACTATTATTATTATTATAGAAAGCCCCATGAAGAAATCGTATTCTATATCGTAAGAGAACGACATTGTAGTTTTAAAAAAAGTAGAATTCTTCTCAGTCTAAAACATGAATTAATGGTTCAGTTCAAATATTTCATATTCATTTGATTGAAACCACCACTAACCTGACTAAGTATATTTGAAGTATTGATTAAATCCAAGAAAACAACCAGCTCACATAAGGTTTAATTAGGAAAAGAAGAGATGTTAACTCTGTTTAATGACTTCACATACCTGTGACATAAAATATTAAGCAGGAAGGAATTGAAAATCGACTAGAATATTTTGTTAAATTTTTGACTTTATGGAATTTGTGATAACCAATGAATAGAAGGCTTGATTATCTGTGTAGTATAACTTTAAGTTTAAAATGCTTTAATTCTGTGCTTTTTATATTCTAGCGGTCAAACATTGAGTCAAACACATGGATTCGATGATATCATCATCAAAGTGGCAAACACTATATTAGATGATGGTGATTTAATGAAGCTTGGTATTGAGCTTGGAGTCCAGATTCCTGATAACAAACTGGCATTAGATACGAATTGGGCTGGAGGTAGAAAGACAATTAATGGTAACGTGATGATGCTTGATGAAGCAGAGACAGTCGAACCATCCAAGCGAATTCCAATTCTTAGAGCTGCTCTCAAAAAGGCGGGCTTACTAGAGGTGGAAGAGACATGTTGATATATGAATATTGGTCCATATAATTATGTTTAAATCTTATTTTACATATGTGTTATTATTATACGACACCGGTTTATTAGTATTCAACTTGGGGGTACTTGTATTCAAGCTTTGTTCAGGATATTACATTTAATTAATAATCATTATTACCTATTTTATATTGAATTAAGGTGCCATGTAGACGTTTTACTTAAATTACACACTTGTTTATTATATGTATTTTGAAATAATTTAGAATGTTACAAATTTGATATCAATTGAATTTGACTGGATATATTTTTTACAGATAATGCATTATACCACCACTCAATTTGGATTGACTGTCTCTCTCTTTCTTTCAAAATCTTTCTCAATTTTAATCGTTGAACAATACGTTGATGTCAGTTGATATATGATTATTGGTCCTGTGAAGTCCCATGTACCTTATAATTATGTTTAAATCTTATTTTACATATTTGTCATTATTATACGACACCGGTTTATTAGTATCAAACTTGGGGGTACTTGTCTTCAAGCTTTGTACAGGGTATTCAATTGAATTATTAATAAGTATTGCCAATTTTATATTGAATTAAAGTGCCGTGTAGACGTTTTACTTAAATTTTGCTTATTATATGAATTTCAAAATAATTTAGAATGTAACAAATTTGATATCAATTGAATTTGACTGGATATATTTTTTACAGATAATGCATTATACCACCACTCAATTTGGATTGACTGTCTCTCTCTCTTTCTTTCAAAATCTTTCTCAATTTTAATTGTTGAACAATACGTTGATGTCAGTTGATATATGATTATTGGTCCTGTGAAGTCCTATATACCTTATAATTATGTTTAAATGCGATTGCTCTTGGGGTTTTTTCTTCTTCATATCTATGTATTTAAAGTGTCAATTTATACAGTTTTATTGTACAAAGTATATATATACATATAACTATATTGTGAAACATTTTTATGCCTGCCTTTTTTATTGTATGAAATCCAAATCATGGTTGCAATGAATAAATGAATAAATAAATGTTTCACAAGCAGCTGCAGTGATTTTTTGCTAATCTTGTTGATGTTGCAATTTTACTATGTCACGATTATATATAATTAACACGGTTTCCTTTCCTACCTATACATATTCTATATACAGAATGGCCAATGTTGATTTCGACGACCTCTTGAAGGAGATAGCCAAGGCCCTACACAAAGATTCAGACATCGATGATCTCGGAAAAGCCTTGGGATTTGGGCAAGGAGAAATTGGTCGCAAGATTGCACAAAACGACAAGCAAGGAGGGAATTACATGGGAACATTGGATTTGCTCAGGATGTGGCGAAAGGGACAAACACGTTCGACTGAAAAGGCAGCATTGAGGTCTGCACTATTAGAAGCTGGATTTGATAACCTGGCAGACCAATATCTAAGCACTCCCGTACCCGGTAAGAGATTCTTTGTATACAATGGGTCAATGATTCGTTTTATACAGAAAAAAAAGAAAATCCGAATTACAAGAAAATTAACTTTTTTTTCACTACTCAAAAGTTTCAAAGCAGATCATGGACATGGTAGTGGCGCGGCATAACGTCGAATTTAAGCCCAATTGTGCATCTTGTGATAAAAGCATAAACTTTGGCACACAGGTAGTCTAACATTTTCAAAGCAAAACTCAATGTTGAGACACCTCATTCCCTTGGGGTTCACTGTGCATATCTTTCACAATGACTCCTTCAGGGTATGCTTTTTCCAAAATCAAAATATTTTAGAAAATCTGAGTTAGTGTCTGTCTGTTAAAATCATTATTTTCAATTTCCAACCAAGAACGTTCCTCCATACTTACGGTACGAATTCTCTCTAATGGGAAGAAAAAGGAAACGTAGAAGTCAATGGTAATTTGAAATATACTGTCTCTAAACTAGACTCTTTACATCATGAAAAAAATAATGGCACATTGCTCTGTTAATCTACCTCTGTGTCAAATATGGCGCTTTGAAGGAATAGTTGAGCTCTGTTGCAGAGGGTGCTACACAAAATAATCTTTTGTGAGAAAATGAAAAACTGAGTGTCAAATTTGAAAGAACATACAATTTACATGACAAAATCATCTTTGTTTGATCAAAATCGGTTCAGCGACGGCTGAAATATCCATAAATATAACGATTTTTAATACTTGTGTAACCCCCCAAATATTTGATAATTTGAAAAAGCCGTTGAAAAAACGAAATAGCTCCTTTTACGTCGTTTATCAGCCTATGCCGATGTTGGTTTTTTGGTTCGCATTTTCGTGTTGGTTATATTACGCACAACCAGCCGGCCATGTATTGTTATTTTTAATTTACACATTGATTAACGGTCACCGTATTGTTTTTTAAAGTGGAGCTTAGTTGGTAAGATCGTATTGGCTAAATTTCACACATTTTGGGGTCTAAATTGACTTCATAGCAATTTTAGGTTCTAAAAGGGCACTAGAAATGTCATAGATAAGAATAAGAGCAATAACCATGCACTTTGAAGGCATTCGCGGTCTGAAAACTGAACTCAACTATCCCTTTAAGCACAAAATGCACAATTGAATCGCTATGCCACCCCGCTTAAAGGGATGTCCAAAGACAAGCATTACATTTGTTGGTACATACCTTCAGGCACGTAGCCAGAGTTTGATGTTTGGGGGGAAGGGGGCACATACATGTAATCGATCGAGGTCAAAAAAGGGGTCTGAAAAGTTAAGCCGATTTTGGAAATTTTAGGGGGGGGGGCTCGTGCCTGCATATCTTGATTCACAGCAGTAAAAAGAAGAGCTTCTTTCACAATGCAATCGCATGACCATAACTGCATGGTCTTTATCTTTAAACAGAAACAGCAATACATTATCAACTTCCTCGGCAGTGATTTCAAACCAAGTCGGTATCTAATTTTCTTGCTTACATCATCATTTTGCAATAACACTCTTCTCTTTTTCCTCAGGTGACGATGAACCGATGCCAAGTGAAATAATGAAGCTAAGAGAACAACTGAAAAGAAGATATCGCAAGAAATTTGGTCAGATCAAAACATCACCTGTGGACTCTCAGTCACGGACATGGCTTCAGCACATCTATGTCAGTCTCGTCCTGATGTTGGGATTTGAAGGGGAAAAGGAGGAGCCAATAGACTATGACGGATTGTTTAAATTCATAAAAACTGACACATCGAAAGGTTTTGTAACACGATTAGCTTTCATTGGAGAAGCTGGTGTAGGGAAATCGACGCTGTTTGCCAAGATAGCTCTTGATTGGGCTGAGGGTAAAATTCTTCAAGAAATCCGTCTGCTTTTTCTTGAATCATTTCGAGAGATTAAAGAGAGCGGATTCTTCGGGGATACTGTCATGGCGCATTTCCCAGATGACTCAGAAATAAAAGGGGAACGGGTCGATGCATATGTGAGGAAAAATCCGAGAAAAGTCCTAATCTTATTGGACGGACTAGATGAGGCACATATCGACATCAAAATGCCAAACTGCAATGACGCTATGGTATCGATCGTAAGAGGAGACCGATTCATTGATACCCCAGTTGTCATCACAACCCGTCCTTTTGGAGCTGATCAGATCAAGAGCATCATGACGATTAATGACCACTACACGTTTGGTAAGGTTAAGGGCTTCACAAAGAAAAACATGTCAACATATATCAAAAACTATTTCAAAGATGATTCTCAGTCTGCTTCCACCCTCATTAACTTCATTGATACAAACCAAGTGGTTTCTGAGTACATGGCACCCTTCCCGATATTCTGCTGTATGCTATGTTGCCTGTGGAAAACGCCATCTGGGCGGGAAAATATTCAGGCAATGGAAACATTCTCTCAACTCTTGAAGCGTCTCGTATTTTCACTTCAAGAGCAATACTCTTCCAAACGAAATGAATTAGAAGAGGGCTATGCAAGCCGCAGGAACAAAGCTGATGAAAGTATGAACGAGCTTGGTTGTATCGCATTTCAAGGTCTGTTGGATAGACAGCTCATCTTTGATGAAAAAGCGTTCGGCTTATGCACAGAGGCTGCAAGGACTGCATGCGAGGTCGGGATTCTTAGCATGGAAAAAAGGCCAGCACCCTTGCAAATCAGAGAAAGTCAGCGAAAGCAATTCATCGAAGAATTCTCTTTCCCTCATAAGTTACTCCAGGAGTACATAGCAAGTTTCTACCTTGCATCGCTGTTCCACAAAGATTGTCGAGAATTCAACAGAATCATGGCAGACACTCTTTTAGAAAACTACCGGTACATGGAATTCAGATATGTCTTGTACTTTACTGCAGCTCATGGAGGTGAAGTAGGAAAGTCGGTCCTGGAAACTCTATGCAAGAAAGTTGATGACATGGATTTCATCATTAAGGTTGCTTTTGAAGTACATGATTCAGAAGCCATTGATCTCGTCAGGAATCGTTTGAAGACTGAGGCACATCTTACGTTACATCCTCCAATCGCCGCACATGTCTTCACACTGGAGCCAATAGGGAAAGAAGTAGTAAGTTCGTTTATGTAGTTGTGAAATGGTATCATGTTGATAAAATACTGTCATCTGTTGAGCCTCCAATGATAATACAGTCAAACCTGCTTTAGTGACCACCTGTCTACATCAAGCACATTTTTTGTTTCCCTTGAAAATGATTTCTCATTGAAACATGTACCAAAGGAACCTGTCTACAAAGACCGCCTGTCTACAACAAGCACATTTTTTGTTTCCCTTGGGTGGTCGCTGTTGACAGGTTCAGTGGCGGATCCAGGGGGGGGGGGGGGGCACGTGTCTCCCCGGCCAAAAAAAAAAGTTGAAATCAGCCCCAAATTCGCCAAAAATTTACCCACGTGTGCCCCCCGGGAAGAAATTTCTGGATCCGCCCCTGAGGTTTGACTGTATATGCAAATGTTGTTACAAAGAGAATACAAACAGAAGAGGCCTACACAATGTATTGTCTGTTTTTCTGTTCTACTGACCGATAATCTTTTAGAACCTGCCATGTTCTCCTGTTGTTATTGGGTATTATAGCAGGCTGCAAGGTGTAATTATAGTCTCATAGATGAGTGAGAGTCATATCATCGTTTACCTCTTCCGCATATAAGTGTAAAACTTGACTTTCTTTTAAAAAAAGGAAGGAAAACAATATTAAATGGCAATTTTAGAGCAATGAAACACACACACGGACACACACCCACACTCACATCCTTCACAGGAAATAGGTCACCCAACCAAACTAAATATCCGATGTAGATCGTGTCATATTTTGAATTTGCCTTTATAATCGTTATCGTTCGTTGATGTACTTCTTACATTCACATTATGATTATACATAACTCAAATTTGATTCAATTTATATTTTGGATCCATTCTTTCTTGGTCTTGGTATATTTATATCCTTGGTATTTACACACATCCACGCCATCTGTCTGTGGCGAAAATAATATACACCGTGGTCTATTTTTTTCTAACTGTATACTACAAATGGACACACGCAAAACTACTTCAAAGTTTAACCCTATCTTAAAGATAAACTCCAGTACTGGTAAAAAAAAAAAATAATTCTCACAGAATCAAACGAAACTTACACTGAATGTTCAAGATTACAAATAAATGACATGTGCCAAACAATTTTGGAAGAAAATGTATACTGGCTAAGTAATGAGCATAGAAAGACAAGGAAATCAAGGTAGTACTAGCCCCGACACCATGTGTGTTGTCCCATATATAGCTTTCTATGTGAGTGCTTGTTACTTTACCAAGACTCGGTCAAATTTATTATGATTTTGAACCCTCCAGAACGTTGCAGTGCACACCAATACTTACATGCTACATGATCAACTGTTTCTGATCCTTTCTACACCTTTTCTTTCACAATGCAATCGCATCACCAGTACTAAAGTTTATCTTTAACTGGGCTATTTCAGACCATGTTTTTACTGGGGGGGGGGGGTTGATCTCGGCCGTTTCACCGCCGATCGCCGCGAAAATTTGCATGCATGTCAAGTGAAGTGTAAAGAATACTTGGTAATTTCAAATTTTTGAAAAATTCACTCATTTGCATATTTATGCTAATTTATGCAAATAAGGTCATTAAATTCACATTTCTGCCCATAAATCATAGATTATTCATATTTAAGTATTCTTTTTCACTACATATATTTATTAGACCATTTGGAATAATAATACAACACAAAAAATTGGAAGAGCCAGGTTATTCCTTATGTTATCTCTTGTTTTGATAATTTCTTATGTATTTCATTGTTTTTTTAACTTATGTATTTTATTGTTTTTGTTGTTTTATTTATTTATAACTACAATTCAACTATTTTGACCCAAAACAAACATCTAAACTTTAAACAAGACTCAATAACCAATGTTTTATCTATTTTTAGGAAAAATGACTTTTACATATGTTTTGTACACAAATCATGAAAATGAGCGATTTTCGGGCTGACATGCAAAGACAAAAGGTCACGTGACCTTGTAACCGTAGGTCCGATTTTCGAAAAAATTGTTTTAAAAGATGCGTAAGACTCGAAAGTAAAAAGTCGTGAAAGGAAAATTTTATATCTGCCGCGGTTTCGGAGTAGTCGCGAAATTTCTACAGGAGGGGGTCAAATTGACCCCCCCCCCCCCCCAGTTAACATAGGGTTAAACAAACATTATATCGTAATTAAAATTTACAGATCTAATGCTAAAATTCTATTTGTTCCATTTGTTGACAGGTAGGAAGAAGTTCTTCGATTCGTGAAACATTGGATGTTAGCAAATCCTTTGAAGCTAATGCACCATCGTCACATGTAGCAGCAGCAGTAGGTCTTTTCACATTGCCGAAGTTGCGATGGTTGATCTTTCAAAGAGTGCGCCTGGATGATGAATTCTACACAGGAATATCTGCTGCAGCTTCACAGTCCAAGGTATAAGGGGCCTATTTATTGTATTATATCGATGAATCCTTAATCATAGCTACCATTATTTCTTAATCGATGCATACTTCTATTTGTTACTAAATTTAAAAAAATACAATCATGAACAAAATTTGGTTATTCACACTCATAACTTTGTTCACTGCTTTTCACAAAGGTTGGAATCTACCGGTAAGCATTATGAAAGGCTTGTAAAATGGTCTTGCTCTCTTTCTCTTCCTTTTCCTTTATACTTATCTTAAATATGTATCTTTCTTTGTCATTTTCTCTTAAAATGTCACAATTTGGCGGTGCTTTGGACAGAGGTGGAAAATGTGACCCCAGTCAAAGTCTTCCCCCCCCCCCCTAAGTCTGTGAAGAAACAAATTTCACCATCTTCTTTCTCTTCTTTTTTCTTCTTCTTCTTCATATTTATTGTTTGTTTAGGTTAATATTTGTTGACTATTTTCCATTAGGAATATAAGTTTATATGGGCTGTAATTACCACTCCACGCACTCTAGGATGTAGGATTAGATAGGAACAAATGTTCCCATAACACCTTCTCTTGCCCACAGTGCGTCCCTACACATCTACCGCAATTCTAGTTGATACACCCACACGCTCATTAGCGTGGATAGCAGGAGGGGGGGGGCTACATCCACCCTTCCCTGAAATAAGAAGTCTATGCAGCTATTCTATTTCATAGACATTTCACAGTACATCAACTCCATGGGTATATTCTAATTATTATTCATTGGTAGGGAGACCACTTACAAAAAACCTCCAGTGGATATATCCCATAGTGAACCCAGAATTGCTGCATCTTTTTGCAGTACTATTTCAACCATCTTCCCTCAGATTTGAAAGAAAAATCATGATATTGTATGTAAGCCTATTGTAAAGGCGGCTGGGTAGGGTATGAGAATATTTTTGCACTTTGAAATTCTTCCAGACAGCCAACGAAACAAAACGCAACAATAATACATAATCACCGCTGCGGCGCGCGCGTCCTGCCGGCTGGTCGGACATCAGAGCATTGCATTACGTACACATCAAGCTAGATCGCTAGAACCCCCTCCTACACCAAGCGCTTGCAAAACGCATGCCGTTTGCACTTTATTTTGCGCAAAATATTGTCAGTTTTCATCAGGTCCCGCCACATGTTTTGAATTCCTGAGCGAAAGGGGCCTGTACAGGGGGCAGTAGCGCCAAGCCTCCCCCATCAGTACCAGATAATAGTACGTCAGCCTCTTCGCACTAGCCTATGTAAAGAGGGCAAGGGGGCAGTCTTACAGAGAAAATAAATTGCTTTTTCATTTCACTTGGAAATTATTGAAGGTACCGTGGTCAAATTATTGGCAGAAACTTTTTGAATTGTGAAAATTTCTCACAAATTTTCTAGTGATGTAAAAGCCAAACTGTCAATATAAAGAGAAGAGGCAATTGGATTCACATCTCTTGTAATATATATAGCCGAAAAGATAAAGCTGGACACCATTATTCTTATGTTAGAGGGAAAGTCGGTCTCTAATTATGATCATGATTGAACATAATTCCATATTTTACAGCTGTACTAGTGATTTTACAATGTTGATAACTTTCAACAAGTAATATCGTATTTAAATCATATAACTGTAACTGCCAAATTAACAAGAGAGGATAAAACAGTGTCGTCCGCCGCCCTACCCCACCCCTGACGACGTAAATGAGGGTCCAAAAAGTGAATTTCATGCTGAAATAAATGGATCACCATTTGCTCTGATTTTTTGTCCCCCCCCCCCCCCCCACACCAAGATTTCTGTTTTTGTTTCTGACGCATTTTAGGCTTTTCTTACAATATATCGAGTAAATTCTACATTAATTGGCTAACGAGAAAAGGCACTGTTGCGCAACTTTCTTCTACAATATTAACGAATATGAGATTAACCTGAAAAGGAATTTAAATTTTCTTTACCTTCACTGTATTAGGTCATGCATATTGAGAAGGTAAAACACTATGTAGCTATTATATCAAACCCTCTGACGCAATGATACTTGATAGATCGAAATGCTCCTTGTCATGTGATATAGTTTTGACCAATCAGTGAATGACAATCTATGTATGAGGTATATAAATTTAATTATCCCCTCGCCGACGAAGTCGGAGGGGATATAGTAACGCTGCCGTGCGTCCTTCCGTGCGTCCTTCCTTGCGTCCGTCCGTCCGTAACAAATTTGGTTTCCGATCGATAACTTCAGTAATGTTTGACGGATTTTAATGAAATTTGATATGAAGGTACATGGTATCGAAACACAGCTTAAGTTCAATTACTGAGTATATAGTTCAAAGGTCATAGCTCATTAAATATGCAAATCTGGTTTCGGATCCATAACTTTAGTGTTGTTTGTCAGATTTTAATGAAATTTGATATGTAGGTTTGTGGTATCAAAACACAGTCCAAGTTCGATTTCGGAGTATGTAGGTCAAAGGTCATAGCTCATTAAATATGCGAATCTGGTTTCCATTCAATAACTTGAGTAATGATTGACAAATTTTAATGAAATTGGATATGAAGGTACATGGTATCAAAACACAGCCTAAGTTCAATTTCCGAGTATGTAGGTCAAAGGTCATAGCTCATTAAATATGCTATTCTGGGGGGTGTTTCACAAAGATCCTAAGTTGAACTTAACAATTATGGGAAGCCATTAGCATCTATGAAAATATTTTGTAAAATTTATTTTTTAAGGTCTAAAATGTTGATTGAAATCATTCATATTTTCTATTATCAAGGAGATATCATGTTTTTGAAGTGGAATTTATAAAAAGTCTAAAATACTTGAATTTTTGCCTTTGATTATGTTTTATTTCAAGGCTACAAATGGCTTTCCATAATGTTTAAGTCCAACTTAGAGTTAAGTTTGACTTAGGATCTTTGTGAAACACCCCCCTGGTTTCCATTCGATAACTTGAGTAATGTTTGACAAATTTTAATGAAATTTAAAATGAAGGTACATGGTATCAAAATACATGTACAGCCTAAGTTCGATTTCTGAGTATGTAGGTCAAAGGTGAAAGGTCATAGCTCATTAAATATGCAAAACCTATATGTAAAAATGTGGTTAACTTCCTTACCTAGTAATATAATAGTATAGTCCAATTGAGGTAACTTGTTCTGACGTATATATAGGCCATTTGTACCCTGCGAGGGGATGCTACGCTTTGCGTTGACTTGTTAATATATTGAGTTGTTATACTGGAATGGAAGAACATACTTTTTTTATCTTTCTATTTGAAAAGGTGAAAGAAAAATTCAAAAAGCATGCAATAAGTAAAACTTTGATTGAAGGAAAATAATTAGATTATATATGATCCATTTTACTCACTTTTCCCTGTACACAATGTCATTCTTCTACAAAAAAAATTGGTTTGCTCATTCTGTATACGTGTTTCTTTCAATTTAGCTTTAAAAAAAGCCCATCATAGTCAAAGTATATATATATATCGAATAATATCATCATGATGTTAAAGTACCGAACATAAATAATACTTCAATTAAACATGTTGATGAGTATTCACTTTATTCAACCTGTCCTGTCACATCACCAGACTGAGAAGCTAACGTACTACCTCTCGGATCTATAGGTGTGTTTAAAACACGGGTGGCCAACCTTTTGAAGCTCGCGGGGCACAGCTAACGATTGGCATAACTTGGCGGGCTGTAAGTAGTCTTCTCCCCCCCCCCTCCCCCCCCCCCACACACACACACCTACATGCAATACATGTACACACCTGTAATTTTGCAAAAACAAACCTGTTGTTAACCTTTATTACATACTCTGGTGACAAATGAGGCAAGGTGGTTTACTTTTCTCTTCTATGAAGAAATACTTCAGAGACCGATCTGATTCAAAGTTTCTGCCTTCATCAGAACCTTGCCATGATAGTTGTTATTTCAAACAAAATCAAGGACACAGCAGAAAGAATATCCTAACTGTATTAGTTGTACACTGTACATCTCATTAAACGCGGTGTAAAGAGAAGGGGACTATACAGTTTACGATTAAGATTCATGAGAAAATTCAATGGCGAAAGAAAAGGGTTGTAATTGTTTCAAGACAAGTATGGTATTTCAAACATATTTCTTGATTCACAACATGTATATTTACAAACGTTACTGCGTGCGGAAATTACAAACTGAAAATAACACGGCGAGTGATATTAATGTATTGAGAGGGAATTTGAGGAGTTTTATATCAACCAAGAAACGAATCAATATGTTGTGAATGGAAATAGAGATAGCTGGGTGTATATGTTTTGCCCTATTTCATCGCTGCTATGCGGGCCGCATTTCAGTTATGAGCCATTTTTATTATTACTTTTTCAATGCTTCGCGGGCCGCACCAAAAGAGCTCGCGGGTTGGTCATCCGTGGTTTAAAAGCCCTTATCTTATACATAGTATTTCGCATGTTTTTTGAAATAATTTATTGTCATGAGTCAGAAGCATGCTGACAAGAAAAATGAATCATGTGAATGGACTTTATTTTGACAAAGTATTATTCATATATATGTGTGGTTTAGGAAATTATTTATAGTTTGTCAATAGTCTCAAGGAGATATTACATGAACACTGTAGATATAAAGAAATAACATCTTTATTTTGCTTGAACAGACACTCTCTTTCTTTTTCAACTGTTCATAATTAATCACATTTGACTTTCTTCATCTCGTGTTTCTTTTCTTTTACCACACCCATTTCACTTTTGGCCTTTTCTCTAGCTCTATCTCTCTCTGTCTCTATCTGTCTTCTCTCTTTCTCTTGCTTTATCCCTTACTGTACTTGGCTATTTTGAGCACCTCAATGATGGGGGGGGGGGGCTGGGAGTCCCCCCCCCCCTTCTATGATCTCGGCCGTTGAATGTCCGATGAACACGAATATTTGTCCGTAGACTTGTGAAGAATTTTGAAAATATATTGAATAAATATTTCCTTCATCTCAAATTCATGAGGTTTCATTATTTTTATGATATTTGAAAATGCATAGGTTAATTTGCATAAATTATGAATACGCAAATTACGCAATCATGAATATCAAATCTGGAAATATATATAGGGACCTAGAATCATTACTAAAATTGTCAGACTCCACTTTTTGAATGTTAAAACTCATTATTCATATGAAACTTCTTTTCTAACACAAAATAGTTATTTTGATGTAATTAATAATGATAATTTATGCAAATTTGATGCGATTTTCAACTATTTATTTTCTTATGTATTTTTTATTTCTTATTTCTTATTATATCTATTGTTTTATTTCTAATGTATTCTTTTGTTCTAGAATACATCAAGTTACTTTGAGAAACATATAAAAGCAATATGATATCAATTCATATCTTCACATTTCTGCTTGTACATGAATATATGCAATTGTAGCACTTTTTTATGACATGCGCATACTACGCGAGATGTCTCTGCTCCATGCCTCATCTTCGATCACTGCGTCTGACCAGTGTAAAGCTGAGTGATGAGTTCTACTCAACGATGGCCTCTGAGGCATCAAAATCAAAGGTATACCCAAACACGATTTGTATTGGAATCAATTTTTTTACCCAATAGTTTTTGCAATCTTCAAACTAAACATATGTGGAAAAATGTTTTTCACATAAAAAAAATCAGTAGAAATGATTTGTTATCATTAGTCACAATTATCCTCATATCAATAAATAACTCTTACAATACTGATAATAAGAAGCATGAGTCGTGTGAATAGACTGGATTTTAGTGTTATAATGAATAGATTCATATAAATGCTTATGTTTAAAGCACGTTTCCTACAAATAGTACTTCACACTATGTATTTTTAGAAATTATTTAAATTTTGTCAATAGTTGCCAGAAATTGATTTTAAATGTGCATACAAATAGACGGATAAAAACGCATATTTTTAAGTGCATATGATATCCTGTAGATAGGCCTAGTATTCAGCTTTTTTGTGTGTCGATTATTCATTGTCCCAATAAGATATTACATGCACAATATTATAGTATTAATGACTGCTTTGAGAGAAATAGTTGTTTTATTACGCTCAAGGGAAGGTTAGAATTGTGCTATTCCCCGAGGCTTGCCGAGGGGAATAGCCCAATTCTAACCTTCCCGAGAGCGTATGAAAACAACTATTTCTCGAATATTAAAGCAGTCATTAATACTTTTATATGCCGAAAAAAAATAGACTAAAAAATGAAAAATGAAAAATATTTATCAATTTAGTCGAAAACGGGATTCGAACTCTAGCGTACAACAAGAGGTGTACCGAAAACCAACGCTTAGACCACTCGGCTATGGCCCGCCATTAACATGCTTGGCAGTTTTCTCCAATATATACATTAAAATGGATTGAAACCGGCTTCGCGTGTGATGAATGCTTCGCAAAAGCTCCATATACGGACTCTTCTTTTACTTTTGCAATGCATATTGGCACGAACTTAGATCAAGATCTATCGGCAGATGTTGTTTTTAATACTAGCAGTCATTAATACTTTTATATGCCGAAAAAAATAGACTAAAAAATGAAAAATTAAAAATATTTATCATTTTTGTCGAAGACGGGATTCGAACTCTTGCGTACAACAAAAGGTGTACCGAAAACCAACGCTTAGACCACTCGGCTATGGCCCGCCGTTAACATGCTTGGCAGTTTTCTCCAATATATACATTAAAATGGATTGAAACCGGCTTCGCGTGTGATGAATGCTTCGCAAAAGCTCCATATACGGACTCTTCTTTTACTTTTGCAATGCATATTGGCACGAACTTAGATCAAGATCTATCGGCAGATGTTGTTTTTTTGTTTTTGGAAGTTTATTTTCGTCTTCATGTCAACAATGCAAGATAAAATTGTCGGTAAGATCGATCGAGATTCAATTGTATTGAAATTACCGACCAATCCTTCGCACACATACGGCATCCTCCATCGCTCAAACCATTTTTTAACATGTAAACCTATGGGGTAACCATGGACGCTGACCAACTTTTTTTAATAACCATGGTTATTAAAAATATTGAAATGTTTTATGCATGGTTACCGAGAATTTTACAGGAACAGTTGAAGTTTATGAATGCAATTCGACCAATCAGATGGCTGGATTTCTTAAGTGAGGTATATAAATATAGCTATAACATGTTATTTTGCTTGACAAGACATGGTCTCCTTTTCAACTATTTAAGACATTTGTTTGTCTTTTTTTTGCTCGTACCACAGCATTGTCTCTTGGTTTTCTCTCTCTCTCTCTCTCCCTTCTATTGGAAACGATTTTCTTCATAATTTTTTATATTGCTTTCTCCAAACTAAACATAATATTATTTCATACATAATGTTTGGTTAATAGTCAAAATCACGCTCATTATATAACAATAGTCTGACCATGCTGTCAATCATGAAAGTGAATCATTTGAATAGAATTGACTTCAGTGTCATGATTATGATAAATTCAATCGATTCTCACTTTCAGTCATTTGAGTCATTCTAGAATATTTGTTTGGAACTACACATTATTTTCTTGTGATGATAGCTATATTCTTCAATACACTTTAGATAACAATGGTCAAAGTGAAATCGGGTATAATGTAAAGACAAACACATCTTTTAAAAAATATATATGTGAATATAGAAATGCGTATCATTTCGACAGGGCGGCGTGACCAGGGTCAGGTTTTGATACATCATCCCACAATTTGCGAAATCGAGACATGTGCCCTTCCTCCGACAGGAAGTGGCTCCTTCGAAGTGAACAAATGCCCCTCCCACGATAGGAAAATTTCCCTCCTAAGATAATTTGCCCTTTTTTTCTATCTATGTTTCCCTGGTTTATACCCGTTTGTAAAAAAATAATAAAAAATAAAAAATAAAAAACATACCCAATTCAGAAACAACAACAAATTCATTCATCTTGTGACATCATCTGTCAATCATTAGTGAGCTAACAAGAGACAGTGGTATGTAATTTCCCCCGGCTCAGCACATGCTCATAAAAGAATTGCATTCTTGCATACAATGCCTCCACATTACCTTTCTTTTCCTGGTGATGCTACAGCACGTCTAAGATAGCGACTCAGCTCTGGTGAAGCTACATACCACTGAATGATTGAAAGATGATGTTACAATATGAATGAGATCTGGAGCATTTTTTTAGGGTGGAGCTTAGCAGCTAGGTCAAAATGAGTTGTATGCAGCCCTGCACATCAACAGGAATCAACTTATATTTGGATTTCATCCCACTTTTAATGATTTTAACCGTAGTCCACATGACCAAATATAAGGTAGCAACTATTGCCTAAGACTGTTCTTACAATTTTCTTGTAAAATACCGGTATACCTGATATCAATAATATGGCACAATGTCAATTCGCTTGCCTGTCCAGTGACAGATGTATCACATATCTAAAGCAATGTGTGTTCATGCAAGTGTCCTTTGGTATCTAGTGAATTTAGAAGAATTATTAAAATACTACCATTTTGATGTAATATCTTTCCACCGATACAATAGCTTAAGAACCTCTTTTAAAATACATCATGCCATATGCATATTGAAATATTTTTTGGTTTATTATAATACCGGTACGTTGTTTCATTTGAAGTTGAACTAGACCTATATCAGAAATTGAGACAAGATAATCAGACTTAGTAAATGATAAAGTTACTGAGATGCAGATTCATCTGATATTAGCTGTGTTTTAAAAAGGTGTTTATGTTAGTAAAGACAATAATTGGATTCCATCGTGGATTTCACTTTGGTGTGAACTGATAAATTATCTTGGCACAGATCCAGACGCTGAGTATGAAGGATGTTTCCATGATGACTCCACGGAGACTACACTCCATTCTCTTGCTACCACACCTCCAGTCATTCACCTTGACGGATATCGAACGAGTTGACATGGACGATGGAGAGACACTGGTTTGTATCTTTACTGTTCCAAGATTGAATTCAAAATCCTCTTTTTGCTCCAAGCTCAAAAGGAAGGCGTTCAGAAAAAACCTGAAGAGACTAAATATGAATGATGAAAGAATTGCCAAAAGGATAATGTATTTTGTTTTGAAATCAAGTTAAAACGACATACTGTGGGCTGTTTAGTACATCGATGGATGGTGTTATTTATCAAATATATATACGTGCACTGTTATAGTTTTTTTCATCTTGGGATGAAGTTTAACATTGCACATATTTTCAAAGCTTGTAAAATACGTGTATCAATTGATAAATGATTGCCATTTGTTATTTACCATGGAGAATCCTGTTGCTTATTTTCTTCATTATCAAATTCAGTAAAGTGAAGTCATTTGATTGATTTTTTTTCGCTAGTCTAGGTGACCTTATAAACACTGAACTAATATCACAATAAAAAAAGATGATAATAAATACTAAAATCCCGTCATCTTCCACCGAAATGGAAGGATTAACCCTTGAATAATAATGTTGGTGGAAACAGACAAAATAAAGAAAAAATTTAACGAAGGTTTCAGAAAAAGCGGAAAAAGAATAAAAACATTAAGAAATTTTGGATGTTGATAATGGTAATGATATGCAAAAACTCATATTGTCAATGCGATCATGATGTGTTATGCCATACAGAGAGAAATCCTCTTTTAATATTTTGTATCCAAAATACTGAAAAAAAGTCTCATGATAAACAAACCTCTATTTAAATAGAGGGCAATACACTTCAATATCATTTCTTACATCAGCATTGGTTTCCATTCATATCATATATAGTGAGCCTTTTTGCATCGCTCTTTCTTGTAGACTCGTCAAACATCCTCAGTAGAAGAGCTTTCTGTGGATGGTAAGGATGTGATCAGCCTGTGGAATCTTGGACTTCATACATCATGTCCCCGAGTGAAAAAACTCGAACTGAACTACCAGGACGAGGAGAATGTCTCATCAGGAATCGTCACAATAGCCTGCTCTCCATTCCATCATCTAACTCACCTTCACGTCGAGGGAGACCTGTCTGCTAGTACACTGAATGATCCTGTGTCATTTTGTGATGCAGTTAAAACATCATGTCCTCAACTCACCAAGCTGTCCTTGACCTGCATTGCACTGAACAACGAGAAGGCAGCCGAGATCATCCAACTCATGAAGACTCATCCACACCTGACAAGCATAGAGTGAGTCTCATTTGATAATACCAGGGTAACGATTGCCACAGTATAATCAAAATCTTACTTGTATTTATTGTGGAATGCATTTCGGTTTACCTTTTGCTATGAGTTTCTTATCTTCATTTGCTACCTCTGTCTCTCTCTCTCTCTCTCTCTCTCTCTCGCCCACCCCCCTCCCCTCCTTCCTCTCTCTATGTCCCTCTCGTTGAATTATTTTTCTTTCTCTTTTCTAAGTTCTCTTTGATTCCTGCCTTCCACTCTGTTTCCAGCATTTCCTCTCTTTCATTCTCCTTATCATTGCCTCTTTTGCTATCATACAATATAACTCTCTAAAAAGAGATGGTTTTAGGTTTTTTTTTACGGAACGATACAAACCTGTATTAAGCATATATCTTATGCCGTATGCTTTCATGGTAATTATACAAATGGGATACCTGATTATGTTTGATCTCATAAGAGGAAAACTAGTGTTGATTTAACACAGTTGCATGGTTCTTGATATCACAAGGAAATTGAATTGGCAAAATACTCTGCCCAACAAGCAACGTGGTATCTTTATTGTCACTGAATTTGATTTCATGCGGGGTCAGCGGTAGCTGCATTAAGGTTTTGAAATGAATCTCAAATGGTTAAGAAAGTGCATACATGAGTGGGTTGTGTAAAAGATTAGATGATGGGGGCTGCATGTATAGGGGATTTTAAAATAGTTTACATCATCTGATGATCTCTTCATTTTAGGATTTATTTCATATCAATATAATTTTCTTATTATAAATGTAAATCAATACTTTATCTTATTCATCATGATGTATCCTACATTCACAACTTTGATACCATGGTTATTTGCAGTCATGCAATATAAATACAGGGCAATATTATGCAAGGTTGGATGTGTAAGTATTGTAATCTATTCTCACACCACATAGCATACATATCAGATGACTTTTTAAGAGAGTATCGTACGTCAGGTTTGTTCAAAAGATCATGAAATTGAGCCCCCGAAATGTACTGTTGTATTACTATAGGTTACTGATGTGCACGGGTCTGGATCCATTGGTTTCTGAGGTGAACAGTGAAGGCAAGCTGACTGTCACCGTGGAGAATGCTTGGGTAAGATATACATGTAACACTAGATAAAATTGGCCATCCTCCGATTGATTCTTCTCCCTTTTTCTGACAATCCATTGATTCAAAGTAGGCTATTTTTTTAATTATCCATATTTAACTCCGCGCAATCGTACTTAAGAATAAACAGTGCACATATTTTAAGCTGTCTTTTATGTGTTTATTCTGGCCTCATTAAAATGATCATGTCTAACAATAGGTTTGATCTGTGAAATGATATCCGAAAACTGAAATATAACAAACAACAAACATAGAGAAAAAGACTTTTCACAACTATATGAACATTTTTAGTGAAAAAGTACTTTTCCTTCACATGCATGATGTATAAGGCAAAAACGCTCATTGTACTTTGTTCTCTTTAAAAAAAAAAGCAATATGACCTTAATATCTGACAAAAAGATGGAAAATGTCCATTATCTATATAGGTCTAAATGAAGAAATGTTTCAAATTATCATGTAGCATGCATCTTAGCAAAACTAAACTCCACTCAGCAAGGTGACAAAAGGTAGATACTGGTAGATAAAACATGCTTCTTCTAATGATGCGATATCCATGAGTTCAGTTCTATTTTTTTCTAAACATGTTAAAGATGAATAATGTTGTATTTCCTTTTAGGTGCCAGCACCTGGGTCGGTCTGTCATTTGTTTTGCTTATTTCCTCTTTGGGCCGATATTTCTCAGTTTTGAATGGTTTAATACATGTGTTTCAGCGACATCATTCCATTCATATCTTTTAACCTCATAATAAACCATGGTTTACAATGTTGTCTTGAGACAACTCTCTGTGCTTCCCAGCTGACGAAGTTGGTTTTCAACTATCAGTAAAACTTGGTAGCAATGTGAAGATTGTTGACAAATTTTACAGGTAGTCCCGGCACAAAGTGGTATATCTTCACTATTAAACCAAAGAAGGGACCGAAACTGACACAGGAAAAGACAGCCAGACAGTTTTGCATGCAAGAGGTTCAATTCATAGCTAGCTATTACAAATGTTGTCTTTAAACTGGCCCACTTCATAGAATATGCTCTTCATTCCTGTTTCAGTTCTTGGGATTGTTCCCAGTGTACATTTTTTGAGTCTGAAATGAGTCAAATCTGACAAGAAATTTAAACAATTCAAAATTTCAAATACATAAATGTTTGATCTCACTGCATGGTATATACACATACACGAGGCTAGGGTCTATTTGTTTATGCTAGCAAGATTTCTAAACTAGGGCAGAACACGAGTGAGAATTTGATGATTTTAAGCATTTATATCCCATTTAAAGAAACAAAATACATAATTTTTTATTCACTGAACATTTCTTTACAAAGTAATAAAAAAGCCGACCGTAGATTTTTAAAATGTTGGGGTCGGTCGCAAAGGGCGATACAACAATACAACAAAGGCCTTACCTTTTAGTTACTGACTGAAGGTTAAATTAAATCGAACAAAACATCTCTATAAAAATGATTGTAAATGATCTATTCGTTAACACAAATATATGAAAACTGACAAACAAAAATTACAATCTCCGGAAGCTTCATTTTATTAATTAAATTCACAATATTATAGAAATTACAATTGCCAAATTTAACAGCAAATCCTTAATTGTTTCTTTGAATGTTACTTTTTATATTCTTTTCATTTACACCTGGTTTGTATATTTATAAATTCTTGTATTCTTAGGGATGGCCATGGACTTAGTGATTAATGGGAAGATAATTCTTGAGTGATATGTGGTTGCGCCATCAAGTAACAAGTTCTGTACACATTGGAAGCTAGCTGACCCTCATCAGACCATGTGACGGCAGCAGACTACTACCGCCTTGAAAATGAAACCTGTCGAATATGGATGTAACCAGGCTACCCGAATAACTATTTACTAGTATACTAATTGAAGGATCATTAGAGTTAACATGTATGGAATACAGTATCTTAAAGCCTATTTGCACTAGTTTGGCCAGGAGGGATTGGACCTCCTTGCATGGCCACTGACAGGTGGTTATCTCATCATATTAGGTCTCAATTAACGTAAGAAAAAGGAGATCATGTATGGGGGGCGAATGGTCACTGATTAGGCATTGTTTGCTATATAGAGGGCGCAAGTAGCTAGTGCAGTGGGGCTTTAAGCAATTATTGACCATGTCTTGATACTTTTGATGAATAACTTTATAATAATGGTTGAAGCATATGGAGCTCCAAGGTAACCAAAAGTTGAAGCCTTGTGTGCCCTCACCATTTAATATAATAAAAAAGAGGCTTCCCGGACGGGTGAAGATGGATTATTACCGGTATGTAAAATCAATCTATGCAATACAATCTGCAGCATACAATATACAGCCTACAGCCAACAAGCTATGTTCTCATTTCCATGTCCATCAGGCTCCCACATAACAGACTTTCAAAACTTACCCGTTTCGTTTGTAATTGTTGACATTGCAATTAATTAATGTATTATAATTCAATATGTTACTCTAATTGATCTTTCCTAAATATTTGCTATCTGTATTAACTTTGCTCTTAATGCATCAATACTTTTAGCTACATGTCTTTAGTTTAAGGTTTTTGTATTTCTTCTTGTATCTAGTGAAATATACTTGTACATGCTTATGTTTTACTTTGTAAAGCGCATAGAGAAACTTCCATTTATTATGTGCTTAATAAATCCATTTTTATTATTATTATTACAACAAATAAGCTGTGTTTAACTTAGGCTCCTTCTTTTCCTCATTTCCAATTTTACTTTTAAAGTCCTTAATTTACAAGTAACTACCAAAAAATCAAAGTGATTTGATATATTTTATGAGCTTAGGTGTACCATGTTCAAAATACGTCTGTACTATTTATACTGTCATTACATTTCTTGTAAATAAAGCTGAAAATGTGTAGCCTGAAATATGAAATAAACGGAACTGAACTGAAGTGAATTTGAACAAATCCAAACTCTCAGTCGTTTGTTTAATAACAACTCCAACTGGTTTGAGTTCTCTCATATTGGCTATACTGTAATGATGAGGATAATATAATGCATTGCACAATCATATCAAGGTCATCATGAATCTAATCTGTAAGGTTCTGTTGATATATCCTTCATCACGGTGATACATGTATTGTGTAAGAAATTCAAAGGAGCTTTCCGGTATACCAGGATTTATTTCATTCACTACGGGTAAAGTAATTTGTATCAACCTTTTCCTGTTTAACCGACAATACATCCATTATCAAGAAAGATTGTTGAAAATATTGAGTGTAGAAAGTGTATACTTGATCTAGACAAGTTTTAGTCTTATTTCTGTTGTATCCAATAAATTCTTGCTTTTGAGATTGAACATGTTTTTCTAACTTTAATCAAATGGTTTGGAAAATGGCGTTTGATGGAACACTTCTCTTGATTTACATGATTATTGTTGTTTTGTTTAATATCATTAGAATGTGTGCCTATTTCCCATCACAATGATGCAATGTAAGTTATGTTTATATTCGTCTATGATCGGTAGGTCTGAATAGGATATAGACCAATGTAATAGCTTATTTAGTTGTCAAAGGTTTATTCTTATATACAATGACTATTTCTTTCAAGTTCTATTTCAAACATCCATTGCTCCTGTACAGTGTTTTAACCATTCCATCTAATAAATTTATATTCTATTATAAATATATTTCCATTTATGTCTATTTTGTAATGATCGTTTCCATTATTACCTGAGTTGTAATGATTTGCCAGTTTGTGTGCAGTACACCTAAATATGGGAAAGAGAAGTTTAATCTTGCACTGTGCGTTAGGTTATATTCTCTTTGTTCGAGCTGTATTTATTTAAAGCATTGTTGTTCTTGTCTTGATAAAATCTGGAATCATCTCAAATCAAAGTGTGAGTCCCTCTTTTTGTTATATTTCCAATGTTCATCGATTTGCAGGACTGCTGTAATGCGTTATTGATATCAGGAATGTATTGACTATGTATATATATATATATATATGTATATATATATATATATATATATATATATATATATATATATATATACATGTATAATGTTCTCAGCTGAGGAATCACATTGCATTCATTCACGTCTTTCCACAAACATTTTCTATATCTTAATGTATTTTGCAAATATATATAAGAATGTATATTTTTGTATGTGAATAAAGTGTAAACACCCATCTTGCAATGTGTGTTACGTTATATTCTCTTTGTTCAAGCTGTATTTAAAGCGAGGGAGGATGGGATGAAAATAGATGAGAAACAATAAGAAGAAGGGAGAGAGAAAGCCAGAGAGGAAGAGATATAAAACAGAAGATAAAGATTAAGAGAAGGTATAAAGAGAGGATAAAGAGAAAGATAGTTGAGAGGTGAAAATAGAAGAGAAAGAAGAAGAAGAAACAGAGAGAGGGGAGAATGGTATGAAAACAGAGGATAAAGAAGAAGGGAGAGAGAAAGCCCGAGGGGGAAAAGAGATAAAAATGGAAGATAGTTGAGAGATAAAAATAGAAGAGAGAGGGGGGAGAATAGAATATGACATACCAGACGAGATACAATAGACATGTACAAAACAAAAAGTATAAACCTGTACTCAAAACGACGAATGTTGTAAATCACTTCCCACAGTTATAATTAGGATGATTTATAACAAATGGCTTTTGGAATATAGTAATCTTTGAGGTCTTGTGCCGAGAAGCATTGTCTGTGCTTCTTATCATGGACCACAGGAAATACCATAATTTTGCTCTTACAGGTGCTCTATAAATCATAGTTTCAGCCGTACTCCAAAATTGATGTCTTCTTTAGTGGTTGCAAAATTCCCTCGCATAATAACAACAACCCCCTATACATGTATAGCATAAATATTAGTCTTGTATAGGAACAAAATAATGTGGACAGGCACAGGCTGATTGTGTGCATGAAAAACAAAGTTTATTTTTAAAGAAAGGGGCGTCGACCCAGGTCGGGTCTTGAAGAAAACTGCCAACATTGCATGCTAAGGAGGGCGGGGAATGAGTGGCGGGGGGGGGGGGGCTTTGTAATGTTCATTATTTAAGAGCACCAGTGGTTTGAATCCATGATATTTGGTAATTAACTGTTTCATACAATTAACGTCAAGTATTGTGGAGTTATGAATATAATTTCATATCCACCCCCTGTATGGCCTCCCATCGCAGCAGCTTTCCTGACCTTCTTTTCTTCTGTAATTTCATAGCTCCTCTTCCATTCTGTAACCCTCACTCCAAATCTCAAATTTTAACTCTTTTTTACCTCCTCCTTCTGCTCTCCACGGCATCCCTCAATCTCCTTCTAATCCTATCACTGTCTACATCATCATCTAATCCCCTTTCTCATGACCTCCCCCTTTTCCCAGTCCGCATCAACTACCTTAATCTCCCTCACTCTCTCATTCTTTGCTACCTCCCTTAGTATCTCTCCCTCCCCAACTCTATCTCCACCCCCCCCCTCTCTCTCTCTCTCTCTCTCTCTCTCAGTATTTGCTCCCTAGCTTCATTGCTAAATTGATCTTCTTTATATCACCTTCTCACCCCTACTGCCCAACCCCATGTCCCTAATTGGCCTATATCAAATACAATTGACCAGTTCACAAGTGTATTTGATTCAAGGGAAGCTTCCCCCCCCACCCCCCCCCCCCCATGCTACATGTTCACGAGAGACTGAATTCATTCATTTATTGTATCTAAATAGCCAGGAGTATAATCACAGGTTGATAATGCTGCTATATCTATCAAATCTAAAATGTATGAATTTGAGACGTCCAAATGCAATTCTGAATTGCTTGAATACATTTGTGAAATGGTCTCTACATAGACACTCTTGTTCAGTTTACACAATCACACTCCCCATTGCACAAATTTAATACAATTGTACACAAACTAGACAAACATGTAAAAGTTCAATAATTTAATTATTACAATCCACAAGAGTACACTTGCTCGACATACTTTCATGTATGTCTCAATTCTGAATCATGATCTCAAAGGTATGTCTTTCACATATTAAGTAAAGTAGCCCCTGAAAGGAATATGAAATCATAAAGCAATCAAATGGGGGGCGTTACATCAACAATTGTCAGCCGATAACTGTCAGCGCTAACTAAATATCTGAATAAATATACCAAGTAACTGTATCTATATATATTATAAAGATTCATTTAAACACATTTTGCTTTTGTAAACTGTCAATCTTGACCTCGTCCTTTAACTAACAAAAAATCAGAGTAACCAATGGCTACAAAACCTTATGCATTTTCTAACATGCATTACTTTGATAAACTCATATTTTGAGAGTTTCTCAAACTGACCTGACTTTCCTTTAAACAGATTCTTACAGATTTGCATAAACCAAAATAACTGTTTAACATCTCTATCTTGTCTCCATACACAAGCTTGATTATTCACATCTATTTGCATATCCTAAATTCGTGCTAAAAACCTCAATATTGGATTGTCACTTTAAATGAATTGTATGACCTTCCACTGACTTTGACAGGCACTTAATTTGCATATTTCTGCTCGCCTATAAAAAACTGGCCTTAAAAAAAAACTGTCTTATAAAATGTCTTCATCCATTGTACTGTTTGATGAATTAAACTTAAATATCATTTGACTTGCATGCTCTAAAACTATGCAATCAAGAATTGTTTTAACCACAGTGGCACAGGTATTTCCCAGTAATAATCTAGACATCACACTTTATGCAAAATAAAATATCTGTAATTTACATCTGTAATCCACACCTGCACTACAGCAAGCCTTTACGAGTTTATAACTCTTCAAATGAACAAACACTCTCTTCAATTCAATTCAATTCAATTCAATTTTATTTCGTCCAATAATAACATGGAAATTCATCGTGGGATTTTACATATTGCGTTTACATTAAAATCATGTATAAAAAGACATCAAAAGCATGACATTGAAATAGGAAATAATTACATTCAAAAATTGTTTAGAAATTGGAAAAACATAACATAACATCGACACAATGCACAAATATACATAGTAAAAAGGCCCCAAGATTTTCAACATAGCTTTAGTACACAATACCCCGATCCCTTGCACCCCCACCTCAGAAACTCATCCCAGCCGGAGGGACATGAGAGAGAGAGAAGGGGGGGGGGGGGGGGGAGGCAGGCGCGTAGCCAGAGTTTGATGTTTGGGGGGCACATACATGTAATCGATCGAGGTAAAAAAAAACGGGTCTACAAAATTTCAACCGATCCTGGAAATTTTAGGGGGGCACGTGCCCCCCCGTGCCTAATACTGTAATTCTGTTTTGTCAATTTATTTAACTGAAAAAAAAATGGTTTCCTTTCCAGCTAGGTTGACCCCCCGGCTCGCGTCATTTTTTTCTGCGGCACAGATTGGGGCTTAAAAAAAAAGAGGTCTTGATTTAACCCTAACCCAATCTGTGCCGCAGAAAAAATAACGCCCCCCCCCCCCCCCCCCCCCGGCTCTTGGACTAATATAACGATTGTGTGTGCTCTAAGAGCAGACATTTTAGGGGATTCCCCGTGAGGTAATAAGCGCGCGCGCCCGCTACGATACAGTGCTACACGGGGCGTTGCATTACGGTTCGTATGCTCACGTACTATTGACGTAGAATCTTGATTTCCATCATCCAAGCTGCCCAAGACCAAGTTGTAGACAGAAATGATACTGTCGTGAAACAGGAAACCACCATTGCTCCGATCCGATCCACATAGCTAGTTAGCACTGCTTTTCACCAGAGAGGTGAGTGAGACTACCGGTATACATGTAGACCCTATACCTGATTTCACACGTATTATTATGTTTCCTTCCTCTTCCCACCACCGCCATCTAGACTCTACACACAAACTTGTGCATGTGAACAAACGCGTGGTTTCCGATTCCAAAACCAATATTGAATTGAATATAGGCACACAAAATTACCATCTGGAAAGTATGGGATATCTTTCTTAATCTTAAATACCTACCTATTTAACATTCCTCAACCTTATATTGTTGACACTTCATTCCCGTAAATCGTAATTTGTTTTGACTTTGTGTACAGAATTCTATATTAAGTTTAACGGAGTCGGGCTAACTCGGACCAGGGGAAAACTCGGCCCAGATGCAAAAACGGTAATTTTTTGCATGTTTAGGGTTAGAGTTAGGTTTAGGGATAGGGTTAGGGTTAGAGTTAGGGTTAGAGTTAGGGTAAAATGACAAAAAATGACCGTTTTTGCAGCTGGGCCGAGTTAATGTCCCCTGGTCTGAGTTAGCCCGCACGTTTCAATGGGATGTCAGTGAACTTGTACTTATGACAGAGCTACCAAGTATCACGCATTTCGAGGGTCTGAAAATGCTCTTACACACGACGCGCGCGCTAGATTTTGAAAAAACGCTATACCTTATACGTGTGTTATACCCTCGCACGCCGAATCATGAAAATGTCACGCATTGCAGATCTTTGAACTTGGCGTCTCTGTTATGACGGTTTCATGAAACGCTGCCCAGATTCTGTACACAAAGTCAAAACAAATTACGATTTACGAGAATGATGTATCAACAATAGAAGGTTGACAAATGTTAGATAGGTAGGTAGACCCTATATAAGATTAAGAAAGATATCCCCACACTGCAGCAACTGGGCATGCAGCGTTTCATGAAACTGTCATCTACGTACAAGTGCACCGACATACATCCCATTGAAACGTACGTGTGTTAAACTTAATACACACATTTCAATGGGATGTCGGTGAACTTGTACTTATGACGGTTTCGTGAGACGCTGCCCAGAAAGAACGCTGTTGTCTAGTTGAGCCGAGTGTAGCGACTGGGGATCAAAGGAACTGCTTCGTCGAAAGTCCATTCGTAGTAGGTCCATGACTACTGGGGTCTAGTTGATTGAACTGAGTTGAAGAGGCCAAGTAGAACTTCATAGTCCATGTTGAATGAAAAGAGAAAAGGTAGCAAATTGAAACCTATCTCTGTTGATAACATTATAAAGGTCTTGCATGTACATGTACATTGTGATTAAACACATGAAATGAAATCATTGATGGAAACAAATGTGAATAAACAAATGACATCCTCAAGGCTCAAAGTACCTTAGCTATATGGGCAGGTGCGCCTGAAGCAGTTTGGGATGGTGGGGGGGGGGGGCAAACATTCATGGAGGCTCACCTTTCAGGGGCAATGGCGTAATGAGCAAAAACGTTTGGGGGCAGAAAAAAATTTGCATCACCATGCACCACACCCGTATGTTACATGCAGGCCCCGTGGAACGTTTTTCAAAGGGGAGGATTATTGATCAGGTAGAGCGTAAATTGGCGTGGGATCAAGGGGCGTTGCCCCGGTGAGGGTTAGGGGGCTTTTTTCTACTTTGGGCCGAATCTGGGCAGAATTTCCAAAGCATGGATTGTGATAATTCTGGCCATGTATAATCTAGTGCAGTGCAGTGACACAGTCTGTGCTTGCTCTCACGTGCACTCTCGATGGCCGCTCTGCATGCCAGCCGCTGTAGTAGTGGCGCTAGAAGAGAGCGGCCACTCGTAGTCGTGCAGCAGTTGTTAATACAGGGGCGATTTTGTACCATTTCCTTTTTTAAGTCGCCCCCGTGATTGCATTTTTGGCCTATTTAGGGGGCTCTTTTTCCTGGTTGGTCTAGTGAACCCTCAAAATAGTTGTCAGATGGGACACAAGACCAACATCATAGGTCATGTAGTCTGTAGCCTTAAAAATAATGAACATTGAAAGAGGCTATTGAAAAGTTTTCATTAATTTTTTTTGTATAAAACTTAGTTTTTTAGTCTTACGATGCAAAGGCCTTTTGCTTCAAGAATGCATACTTTTTGCATACCTGTATTTCTTTGACCTTGTGCTCTGTATCATAAAATGTTGTGTAAAAAATATTTAGGATTTCATTAGGACATCATAGAGTCGAATGAAAATTACTTGTAAAATATAGATGAATTTCCTTTTTATGCTTTGTTTCTGTTTTTTGTTTTTTGGCCATTGTTTACCATTGTTTACCATTATTTAATTGAATTTTGAAATGGTCTTGTACAAAATTTGGAATTCCTTCAAAAAACATATATAAATATATAGTTGCAACTTGCATAATTTAACAGTGTTATAAATTTACCTATTCATGATGATTATGCTAATTGTGTGCAACATGCACACTTTTTGGTGAGATCATTTATAAACCCACCAAGCATGGTACATGCAGGTATATAGTTTCTGGCCTTAGTTTGTGAGTGTTAAGAATGTTAGGAGTGATTGAAACCAGTGACCCCTCGTACCCCAAACAAGAACCTTTCCTCATTCATTTACCATTGTTCAAGATCTTGTACACAATTTGCAACTTTCTAAAATAAATCTAGCAAAATTGACTCATGCGCTAAGCAGTGATATAAATTGATCACTATTTACATTTGTTGTTGTTGGTGAAGCAATGTGTGTTTCAAAATACTTTGTCTGTTTGTCACATACATGTATACAGTGACCAGCGCAGTGAGAGTTAAAAAAGTCTCTGAAAATTGAAATTTGTCAAGAATTTTTAGGACATTTAAATATATACATGTACTAGCAGGACCCGCTAGTACATGCATATATTTATATTTATGTGTAAATATATACATAAATTGAAACCATCAAGAATTTTATTTGCAAATTAGAGGACACCATAAGTTACCACCCAACTTTATTTGCCATTTTGATGACACCACAAGTTCCCGATCCAACTCTAGTTATTCTTTAAGCCGCTTTCACACTGGATCTGCGTAGTGTGGCGTACCGACTACGCAGAAATTAGGCTGCGTATTAATGAAAAAAATGTTGCTTTAACGTAGTCCCTGCGTAGGTTATGTGTAGGCTGGCGTACGATGGCGTTTGGTTACATACCCTGTGCATAGGCACTACGTAACTTTGCGTATGCAATTGGCGTACCTACGCATACGATTGCGTATAACAGGCATAGGGTTGCATACGTTTACGTAGGCTTGGCATACAGGTTTGCTTACGATTGCATACTGTGTGCGCAAGCTTTTTAACTGCTTCGTCCAACTGGCGTAGGGTAGCGTACTGTTGCGTAGGCATGGCTTACAGTAGCGAGTTTTGCGAAAAATTGCATAAGAAAAGTGTCTTTCTGCGTCAAGTGCCTACCTGAAAGTACGCAAAAAATAGACATGTTGGCGTAGTCGGTACGCAACTCTACGTATGGCCTGGTGTGAAAGGGGCTTCAGATACAGAAAGTAATCACACATAGTTGCATTACTATCCCGGCCGTGTATTAATAGACGACCTTAATTGATTCTTCGTTTTCGCCGTGGATGTCGACACAGAGCCGGACCTCGAGCGGAGCATAGCCAATTCCATAGAGTAGATTCTCCCGCGGAGGATGATACCTTGCACCGGTACCCCGAGGGGACGGTTCAGGAGGAGATAGCTGCACCATCTTCGGTCACCGATCTCATTAAAAAACAATAGAATACATGGGCTCGCGGCGACGTCATGCCCCCCGCGGAGGTTAACCGTATTACTTATAGTGATATGCCCCAAACAAACCTTGAACCGCCATATGGTGTATCCCATGTTTCACATGTTTGTGATTGTTTCTCATATTTGTATCTCTATTTATATGTTGACATTTCTCCTCAGCTTGAATACCATTCACGATGGCAGAGAGGCTGCGAACCGAAGAGATGACTGAACCCCCGAGTGATGACACACCAAGTAAAAGGTACAGACATGTTTAGCTGCACTTTAGCATATGTCCACTGTGCACTGTGATACACTTATAAGGCCCCCCCCCCCCCCCCCCCAAGAAAAAATTTGTTTAGTAATTGTCCTCGATTGCTTTTTTTGGAGTAGAGGCAGGTGGGCGGATTTTTCATTTTTCATTTTTTTAAATGTTAGTAAAACTTAGTACATGTACAAGGCTAGGATTCGAACTCTAAACGACCTCGGTTTAAGAGTTGTGTGAATGAACCAGTATACCATAACACCTCCACTTTTATCATTGGATGTACATGCATGTATTGTAGTGTCATAGGATCCAGGATTTGATTGGGGGGGGGGGGGGGCCTGCAATTTGTATTACCCCAGCAGTTGCTAGGGTACCCATTTGCACCTGGGTGGAGAGTGGCAAATGTGGATTAAGGGGTTTGAGAGGAGCGGGGGGGGGGGGGGGGGGGGGGGGGGGGGGAGGGATACAAACAAAAATCTAAAAGAGCAGGCAAACAAAACAAAGGAAAGGAACAGTTATCCCGTTCTCTATGTGCCTTTTGTTACAAAATTTTGAAGGGGGACATTTTTGGGTGGTTGTGTACTTAAGGTATGCCACTTTGACTTGGGTTTCAGGAGGGAGAGGGGCATATTAGCTAGTTGTGCCTCCCCCCCCCCCTCCCTCCCAATCTGCCATTGTTATGAACTATAGAGGGTCCCTCCATTACATAGCTGAGTACAACACAATTGTTACTACTTTCTAAAAAATCAACCTGGGGCAATTTCAATAGCCTTATGCGTCACCTATTTAAATGTGCGAACACGGCAACAAAGTATTATGTAATCCAAACATTTGAGTTTGTCTTTCAGAATTAGATGTGATCATGTACAGTTGTATCTTGCTCATCAGATATAGGTGTTTATTTGTTTATTATTCTTGAGTCATAGTTTGGATGGTACCATTGTAGAAAGACAAGTAATGGTAACGTGATGATGCTTCAGAACTGGGCAGAGACAGTCAAACCATCCTAGCAACTTACAATTCTTAGAGCTGCTCTCAAAAAGGCAGGCTTACTAGAGGTGGAGGAGACATGTTTCACAAGCAGCTGCAGCGAATTTGTGCTGATGTTGTTGATGTTGCAATTTAACTATGTCATGATTACATTTAATCAACACAGTTTCCTTTCCTACCTATATATTCTAAATACAGAATGAGCTCAGTGGCCAATGTTGATTTTGACGACATCTTGAAGGAGATAGCCAAGGCCCTGTACAAAAATTCAGACATCGATGATCTTGGAAAAGCCTTGGGATTTAGGCCCGGAGAAATTGGTCGCAAGATTGCAGAAAACGCCAATCAAGGAGGGAATCATATGGGAACATTGGATCTGCTCAGGATGTGGCGAAAGGGACAAACACCTTCGACTAAAAAGGCGGCATTGAGGTTGGCACTAGTAAAAGCTGGATTTGATAACCTGGCAGACCAATATCTAAGCACTCACGTACCCGGTAAGAGATCTGTGTATACAATGGTTCAAAGATACAATATCAATAACATTTTTTTTACTACTCAAAAGTTTCAAAGCAGATCATGGACATGATAGTGGGGCGGCATAATGTCAAATTTAAGCCCAATTGTGCATCTTGTGATAAAAGCACCAACTTTGGCACACAGGTAGTCGAACATTTTCGAAGCAAAACTCGATGTTGAGACACCTCAAATTTGGCCCTTGGGGCCTGCTGTGCGTATTTTTTTTCCGTGTATGCTTTGTCCAAAATTAAAATATTTCAGCAAATCTGAGTTAGTGAAATTTCTTGTATGTCAAAATCATTATTTTCAATTTCCAACCAAGAACGTTCCTCCATACTTATGGTACCCATTCTCTCTACTAAGGAAGAAAAGGGAAACGTGGAACTCAATGGCACATCGCTCTGTTAATCTATACCTCTGTGCCAAATATGGTGCTTTAATCACAAAATGCACAATTGAATCACTATGCCACCCTGCTTTTAACGATGTCTAAAGACGAGCAATACATTCGTTGGTACATATGTTTATTCAAAGCAGTAAACAGTAGAGCGCCATTCCTGGCTTAAGAAAATTAATTTGCCTAAAAACAAGAAATATGCACGTCATGATAATTTGAATAAATCATATTTACTCGGAATAATATTTTTTTGGTTGTACCGAATGTAAAGTAAACAAGTTTAGTGTTGTACGGGCTGGTTGTAGTTTAAAAAAAAAAAAAACAGAAATATCAAATTTTTGTTATGGTTCACAATATTAAACTCTTTTAGAAGATTCAGGTCAAAGTTCAAATGAATCTTTTTTTGTGAAGCAGAGATACAAGAGAATTATAATAATAAGTACATGATAATAAGATATTCAAACCTTTCCACAATATTATAAATTGTTGAGGAAATCTGTGAAGTACTCATTAAAAGTTACTTCCTTTTAATTCTATTTTTACATCAGCAGAATCTGCAAAATTCACTGTACAACAAACAGAAGACTGTTCCAAAAATAAAGGTGAGATATCTATCTTGTTTCATAAAAAGCTGAATATTAAAAGAGGGAAAACATATTCTCTTTGTATTTGAGTATCTATTGTAAGCTCGATCCGTTCTCAGGGCAGTCCAGAGACGAGCACTACGTTTGATTGCACATGCAATTATTCAAAAAGGTACTGGCTTAAAAAAATCAACTGTCTATCATCGATTTAACATACTCAAATTCTGTGAGGTAATATTGATAATATTAACGAAAATATCTTTGATCCAATCTAGCTTTATTTATTAAAGATAGTGAATGCGCAATTTATGGACGAGGCACTTCTGGAATTATTGTCAATGTTTTTCCAGAACAATATTCGTCTTCAAATACATTTTAGGGGTAAATCTTTGCAGAAGTGTGTGTTTTAAGACATCCTCTTTCTCATCATTAAAGAATTGACAGGAAATTTTGCCATCAAGATTATGTGTTCAAAGTTTTGGAATTTTTGGCTCCCAACGCTTTAAATCTTTCATTATTGTTAAAAATCATCAATTGATAACACATATTACGTATAATGTAGGCCTAATGGACAATGCTCGTATACTTTAGCTTGTGAACAGTTTCTGACTTTGACACCTGTATTTGCTTAAACTAAAATTTGGGAATATATTAAATTGTGAGATGTACCGGTACTCTTTTCAAATTCACTTTTCAAACTTACTTTTCAAACTCACTTGTTTAAGTAAGTTTTTAGTAACTTCCTACTGTCCTACGTTCACACTGCACGTTGAAACAAATGATGCACGATTATTGATAATTTATCTCATAAGGGTGGGAAAGAGTCTCTTTACAAAGAGAGTATTGCCATAATGTGAATAAGAGCTTTCAGAAACAATTTGCCGTTCAATTCTCCCTAGAAACTGTTATTTCTGGTTTTCAGTCAATCCTCTATACAAATTTAAGTTCGTCGCGAACTCGTATTATGCTCGTGGTAAGCTTAATAAGATCGTTTTTTAGGCTTTAAGCTCGTAACACGCTCCCAGGACGCTTGTGACAATCTTACAAAATCTTGGCGAGCTCGTGCACGAGTTCGCCACGAGCTTGTGGCGAACTCACGGGTAAACTGGGGAGCTCGTGGATAAAAGAGGGAGCTCGTGGCGAGCTCGTGGCGAGCTCGGGCGTAAACTGGGGAGCTCGTGGGCGAGCTCGGGGGTAAACTGGGAAGCTCGTGGCGAGCTCGTGGGTAAAAGGGGGAGTTCGTGGCGAGCTCGGGGTTAAACTGGGGAGCTCGTGGCGAGCTCGGGGGTAAACTCGGGAGCTCGTGGGGAGCTCGTGGGTAAAAGGGGGAGCTCGTGGCGAGCTCGTGGGTAAAAGGGGGAGTTTGTGGCGAGCTCGGGGTTAAACTGGGGAGCTCGTGGCGAGCTCGGGGGTAAACTCGGGAGCTCGTGGGGAGCTCGTGGGTAAAAGGGGGAGCTCGTGGCGAGCTCGTGGGTAAAAGGGGGAGTTCGTGGCGAGCTCGGGGTTAAACTGAGGAGCTCGTGGCGAGCTCCCAAGAGCTCCCCAGAGCTCGCCACGATCTCGCTGGTAAACAGGTGATCCAGCTCACAGGAAAACAGTTAGGTATACAGTGTGAGTCCCAAAAAAATTTACACCTAGAAAATTGCTAATTATTTTAAAAATTATCTGTGAACAGTAAATTATTATACATTCTATGAAAGAGTGTTTTATCTTGAATCATTTAGTATCATTTTTGTGTGGTATGTTTGGATGAACAGGAGGCATTGTATGCGAGAGTGCAAAAATCGACTTGCGCCAAAGTTGCTAATGTGATGTTTGAATAAAACAATTGCGATATGGGTATTATTTCAGTCATTACAGATCAACATAACATCCCAAACAAAATTAATCATGCCACACATATCAAAAATTGAATATAAAATATCAACGAACATTGTTAGTGTGTTTGCTTGTGACTTTGCTTCTGCAAAAAACATATGCAATGCATTTCATTTGATACATTCAATTCATTCTCTAACTCCGCTGATCCCAACATAATACATACTGTAGGCATCACTTTGGCGCAAGTCAATTTTTGCACTTTCACAAACAATGCCTCCTGTTCATCCAAGCGTGAACACATACCACACAAAAGTGATACCAAACGATTTGGAATAAAACACTCTTTCATAAGATGTATAATAATTTACTGTTCATAGATGATTTTTAGAATAATTAGCATTTTTCTAGTTGTAAACTTTTTTTTTACTCACACGGTATACATGTATATGTATTTTAAAGTTCCCTTCAGGATGCCAATTTCTTTTATTTATTCTATTAGTATATGTACATGTATTTTTAAAATGTCTTGGGCCAAGGAAAATGAGTTCCTACTTCCTAGTTTCTTGTCTCCACCAGCATCCTTTTTATGTAATTTTTTTTTTAAATAAAAAATATCGATCTGAAGATATCTCTCACCTGAAATAATTAAGGTAAACAAATGCATACTTTATTATTTTGATACATTTTTGAGCCTCTTTGTCAGAACATAAATTGTATATGCAATTACATTGAAAGTTCAGAAAATTTGTGTTGAAATTGAAACAATAGCTTTTTCATGCTGAAGTAACCTGTCAAATTACTTGTAAATTTAATTAAATTCTTTTGAAACTTTGAAACATTTATTTGCAGCATACCAGATTGGGAAGGGGGGGGGGGGGTTGCCATTTATTCTGACTGTATCATATATTTAACACCTTGAAATGTCACTATCAGGTATTACATAAGAGCACACACCCAGACCTTGATTCGAGGTCAACTCCCTGTTTCTAACTTGCTCTCTCCTTATGTACATAGGATTCCCCAGTGCTAAGACACAAATCTCTATTCCTCTCTTCTCCCCACTCTCACTTTCTTGTTTACTCTCTCTTGTGGAATTACCACTGGTAGCATTCCTGATAAGAATGAATTGATGTGTTAGTTATAGGCCACTTTGGGCAAGTCTTTCTCCATCTTGCTTTTGTAGAGAGCAGACATGGGTTTTGAATGGTATTGCAGCTCCTTTGTTTTAGGTAAGAGAAAAACTAATTCCTCACACCTTATAACTAAATGTTCTACTTGTGTATTTATAGGCCAACAGTTAGGCCTACCTCTCTTATACATTTATGAAAGAGAAGTGTAGAGTAATGATTAATGAGATAAAGTATTTATTCTCTTTCTAGTGAGATATCTTTTCATATATTGGGAAGTTTTTTTCTCTATCTATATAGCACATAGTATATTCACTTCATTAAAGTAACATTAGATATAATCTATGTGATAAGGTTATATTCATGTAAATATTCCTGTATCTTGACTGACAAACCCTATCATTTAGGCAACATGAGAGCACATTAATGCATTTTGTCTGAATACTGAAAACTAGTTTGCTAGCGGATATAAAGAAGGGATTGTTCTAGAGATCCTATAGTATATGTAGATGTATCATTACTTGGTACCCTGGGTTGGTGAATACACTGACAAGAAGGGGGATGCTATATAGTTATTGTATGAATACCGCTTTATTAGTTTGGATCTTTGTAATATTATGAGTGATTAGAATGATGGAATAATTACCAAAATGGATAATAATATTTCTTCAAAGGCAGAGTATTATACAGTGTAATTACTCACATATTTAATTTCATTATACAGTGTAATTATATAATTTGGAAATCATTTATTCATTCATATCGTTGTGTGAAGTTGTGAACCCTGCATACAGGTAACATGTATTTTACAGGGTTAAAAAGATACTTGTTTTAAGTTATATTTTATGTTATATCTTTTCTTTCTGTACTTTGATATATTAGTGTTTTCATTGATTGATATCCCAGAAGTAATGAGCTTTTAACTTTCCCTTATTCTAAAGAGGATCACTGTATTCTTCACCAGCTTGCCAACTGAATTGTCCCTGCACAGCCAGCCTGCAGATGTTAACAGGATATTGGAAGGTTGATAAGTTAGATAAATATATATGCATCCCAATAGCTCAACAGGATCATCAGGTTCACCTCTATATGTAGACACAAATTAGTTCTCAATAGGGACTTTTAGATTTGCACGAAGACAATGTGGATTGCTACGGTCGACGTCCTTTTTATGCACTGCCTTCAATGGACGTCACAGGTTTCAGTCCACGCAAATCTAAAAGTCCCTAATGCCAACATGCTGTTGAGCACGCCATTAAGCTCGCAGCCATTTTTTTTCCACAAGATTGTCGACGAACTCGTTGACGAGCTTGTCGACGAACTCGTTGACGAACTCGTACGAACTCGCCAACGAGCACGCCAACGAGCTCACCAACGAGCTTATCAGCCGGTGACGAGCTGCATATTTGGAGCACGCCAACGAGCTCGCGTGCATGCTCGTAGCTAATTTGCATATTTGGAACGAAACGAGTTCGTCTGCGAGTTCGTCTGCGAGTTCGTCGACGAACTCGTGGGCGAGCACGCTGACGAGCTCGCGTGTTAGCATACTGAAATTTGTATAGGGGATAACTGGTCAAAATGTCCATACACATGGCATCTTGACAACCATTCTCTCACTCACACTGTCCTTGCATTTCTTTTCCTACCCCTCTGAAATTTCGCTTTTAAAAGCAAAGTCCCACCATCATTAACTTATACGCATATAAATCTGAGCCAGTGGCATATCCAGCTAGAATTGATGAACCAAGAGAGAATCCCACCAGACTGAAAAACAGCTAGAACCTTGGCTGCCAAAGACAGCCCTGCATACCCACTGCAAATTTGATTGAATTAATTTTAAGGGGAGGGGGTTCAAACGCCCGGATCTGCGTCCGTATGCCAGGTTTATCCTTTGCCCATACTTTATCAGCAGAACCTGTTTATACAGAAACAGCAATACATTATCAACTTTCTTGGCAATGATTTCAAACCACGAATCTAATTTTCTTACATCATTATCTTGCAATAATGCTCTTCTCTTTTTCCTCAGGCGACAATGAGGCGATGCCAAGTGAAATGATGAAGTTAAGAGAACAACTGAAAAGAAGATATCGCAAGAAATTTGGTCAGATCAAAACATCGCCTGTGGACTCTGAGTCACGGACATGGCTTCAGCACATCTATGTCAGTCTCGTCCTAATGTTGGGATTGGAAGGGGATAAGGAGGAGCCAATAGATTATGACGGGTTGTTTAAATTTATAAAAACTGACACACCGAAAGGTTTTGTAACACGATTAGCTTTCATTGGAGAAGCTGGTGTAGGGAAATCAACGCTGTTTGCTAAGATAGCTCTTGATTGGGCTGAGGGTAAAATTCTTCAAGAAATCAATCTGCTTTTTCTTGAATCATTTCGAGAGATTAAAGAGAGCGGATTCTTCGGGGATACTGTCATGGCGCATTTCCCAGATGACTCAGAAATAAAAGGGGAACGGGTCGATGCATATGTGAGGAAAAATCAGAGAAAAGTCCTAATCTTATTGGACGGTCTAGACGAGGGACATATTGACATCAAAAAGCCAGACAGCAATGACGCTATCGTTTCGATCGTAAGAGGAGAACGATTCATTGATACCCAAGTTGTCATCACAACCCGTCCTTTTGGAGCTGATCAGATCAAGAGCATCATGGCGATCAATGACCACTACACGTTTGGTAAGGTTAAGGGCTTCACAAAGAAAAACATGTCAACATATATCAAAAAGTATTTCAAAGATGATTCTCAGTCTGCTTCGACCCTCATTAACTTCATTGATACAAACAAAGTGGTCTCTGTGTACATGGCACCCTTCCCGATATTCTGCTGTATGCTATGTTGCCTGTGGAAAACGCCATCTGGGCGGGAAAATATTCAGACAATGGAAACATTCTCGCAACTCTTGAAGCGTCTTGTCTTTTCACTTCAAGAGCAATACTCTTCCAAACGAAATGAATTAGAAGAGGACTATGGAAGCCGCATGAACAAAGCTGATGAAAGTATGAAAGAGCTTGGTTGTATTGCATTTCAAGGACTGTTAGTTAAACGGCTCATCTTCTATGAAAAGGCGCTCGACTCATGCATAGAGGCTGCAAGGACTGCATGCAAGGTCGGGATTCTTAGCATGGAAAAAAGGCCAGCACCCTTGCAAATCAGAGAAAGTCAGCGAAAGCAATTCATCCAGGAATTCTCTTTCCCTCATAAGTTACTGCAGGAGTACATAGCAAGTTTCTACCTTGCATCGCTGTTCCACAAAGATTGTCAAGAATTCAACAGAATCCTGGCAGACACTCTTTTAGAAAACTACCGGTACGAGGAATTCAGATATGTCTTGTACTTCACTGCAGCTCATGGAGGTGAAGTAGGAAAGTCGGTCCTGGAAACTCTATGCAAGAAAGTTAATGAAATGAAATTCATCATTGAGGTTGCTTTTGAATGTCATGATTCAGAAGCCATTGATCCCGTCAGGAGTCTTTTGAAGACGAAGGAAGATCTTAGGATTATAAATCATCCAATCGCTGCACTGGTCTTCACACTTGAGTCAATAGAGCAAGAAGGAGTAAGTTCCGTGAATAGAATTATAGACGTATCTCATTTTTTAAATTTTTATTTGTGTAGTTGTGAAATGTTCTCAAGTTGAGGGAATACTGTCATCTGTTGAGCCTCCAGTGATAATATATGCAAATTTTGCTACAAAGAAAATACAAACACAAAGAGACCTATAGTGTATTGTCTGTTTATCTGTTCTGACCGATAATCATTTAAAACCTGTTGATATTGAGTATAATAGCAGGCTGCATGGTGTAATTATAGTCACACACAAGAGCGAGAGTCATATCATCGTTTACCTCTTCCTCATGTAAGTGTAAAACTTGAGTTTATTTAAAAAAAAATATTTAAAAAAATATTACATGGCAATTTTAGAGCAATGAAATACCCACGGACACACACCCACACTCACATCCTTCACGGGAAATAGGTCACCCAACTATAAAACGAACTAAATATCTAATGTAGGGTCATGTTATTTTTTTAATATGCCTTTATAATCGTTATCGTTCGTTCATGTACTTCATACATTCACATTATGATTATATATAACTCAAATTTGATTCAATTTATATTTTTCAAACATTTGATTCCTTCTTTTCTTGGTCTTGGTATATTTATATCCTTGGTAATATACCCACATCCACGCAATCTGTCTGTGGTGAAAATAATATAAACAATGGTCTATTTTTTTCTAACTGTATACTACAAATGGCCACACGCAAAACTACTGTAAAGTTTAAACCAAAATTATATCGGAAATAAGATTTACAGATTGATGCTAAAATTCTATTTGTTCTATTTGTTGTACAGGTCAGAAGAAGTTCTTCGATTCATGAAACATTGGGTGTTAGCAAGTCCTTTGAAGCTAACCCATCATCGTCACATGTAGCAGCAGTAGGTCTTTTCACATTGCAGAACTTACGAAGCTTGGACTTTGTATTTATGTGTCTGGATGATGAATTCTACACAGGAATCTCTGCTGCAGCTTCACAGTCCAAGGTATCAGGGGCCTGTTTACTGTATTTAATCGATGAATCCTAAATCATAATTACCATTATTTCTTAATCGATGCAAAAATCTAAGGGGGGGGGGGGTCAGTCATACACTAGAAACTAGAACCACACTATGTCTGGATTTCTTTTTGCATGGACTTTGAGGAAAAAAATTCTGTCAGCTTTAGTTTAATAAAAAATGATGTTGCTTCTATTATTTGTGACAAGTTTACAAGCACAAATCGGCGCCTTCAACTGTGCCTCGCAGTAAAATGAAGGTCCTTCCCCGCATGGATTTTCGAACACGGACCTGGCTAATTGCTGCATACAGAGTCGGCAACAACAAAAAACCTTTAAAAAGTTTAATATTTTTGAGAAGCGCTCTTTTGGCGTAAATATGATTTATTGTAGCGAGAGCTACATATGCAGTATGGTGGAACACTCGCTGAGAAAGACGGAAAAGTATCAAGTATTCTCTTAAAGGTACTTTGTCCCATTTACAGGCCAAAAAAATGAAAAGGTTAAATTCAAACAGCATTTTGAAAGATAATACTACTTAAAGAATTTCCCTAAAAATAACGACCATTAGTTGTCGAATCGACTTAAGAGCTATAGAGCCAGTAAGTAATAGTCTGATTTTTAGACCATTGTACCGAATGGTCGTACGTTTTATGCTGCGCAAAGATTTGATCAGTTTAATTTTGGCCATTACAAGAAGTGGGTTATTGATGTAGACACATGCTTATGTACCTGTACCCTTTACAGCTCATTTTATCTTTTTACCAAAGAAGAAAAAAGCCAGTCAGTCACTCAATAGTGTCTGACAGTGAAGTCTAGCAAGTAAACTGGTTTCCTTGCATAATTTGAATATTAGGACAAATCGACATAAGTGATTGCAATCACCTAAGTAATAGTCTGATTTTCTGACCCTTTAACCCTAATAAGGCCGGGGGGGGCCATCATGGCCCCCCCCCCCCCCTCCACGATTTGTCTGATTGTTCGGAAACGCATATGGATGGCGCCCCGCCGCTCGCAGACTTTTTTTTTCGAGTCTTATGCAACTTTTAAAATCATTTTTGTGAAAATCTGACCTACGGTTACAAGGTCACGTGACCTTTTGTCTTTGCATGTCAGCCCGAAAATCGCTCATTTTGGTGATTTGTGTACAAAACATATGGAAAAGTCATTTTCCTAAAAATAGATCAAACATGGGTTATTTGGTCTTGTTTAAAGTTTAGATGGTTGTTTTGGGAGTCAAAATAGTTGCATTGTAGTTATAAATGAAATTAAACAACAAAAGCAATAAAATACATAAGTTAAAAAAACAATGAAATACATAAGAAATGATAAAAACAAGAGATAACATAAGGAATAAGCTGGCACTTCCAAATGTTGTTGTCTTATTATTATTCATAATGGTCTAATGAATATATGTAGCTACAAAGAATGCTTAAATATGAATAATATATGATTTACGGGTAAAAATGTGATTTTTATGACCTTATTTGCATAAATTACCATAAATATGCAAATGAGTGAATTTTTCAAAAAATTGAAATCATCATAGTATTCTATACACTTCACTTGACCTGCGTGCAAATTTTCGCGGAGATCGGCCGCTTCACGGCCGAGATCTTATGGGGGGGGGGGGGCATAATGGCCCCCCCCCCCCCGGCCGTACTAAGACCTCAAATAGCCCGGCCTTTTTAGGGTTAACCGAATGGTAGTACGTTTTGTGCTGCACACAGATTCAATCAGTTTAATTTTGGCCGTTACAAGTAGTCGGTTATTGATGCAGACAAATGCTCATGTACCAGTTACAGCTCATTAAAGTATGTCATTACCAAAGAAAAAAGATGTCAGTCAGTCACTCAATAGTGTCTGACAGTGAAGTCTAGAAGGGAAACTGGATTCCTTGCATAATATGAACACTAGGTCACTGCTAATGTTTCAATTTCACAGATAGGACGTACATGTACATGACATATTCATAATTCCTGCAAAGTTCTACAAAATTCGATGTTGAAGGGACTTGGTTACATTGTTTAGATGAGATAAAATGGTGATAATGTAGTTCAATCCTAATTTATAAAGACATTCTGAAAGTTTGAGTGAAAACGGACCATTATTAATGATAACAATTGGGAAAAACTGATCCCATGGATCCCTTAATTCTCCTAACTATATTATTACAATTTAATTACATTTTAGGTGAACATAAATTTTCACAAAGTCACTGTTAGAGAGTGTCGCACAGTGACACCTTAAAAGAAAACCATAAATATCTTTGTGGTTTGAGAATCTGTTCACGATTCTTTGCATATTAGAGGGTTAGTACAGTAGAAGGAATATAATACCGATAGATAAAATTTGGCAATTTTTGTCATCAACCTTAAACATCGTAACTGAGTCACTTTAATAGAAGCCGATTTTTAATGGAAAACTGATGTGTTGTGATGACTTGAAAATCAATATTTAGCAACTTTGTGTGAGTAAATTCACCTAAAAAAAGGCCAAGTATTAAAATAAATAAAATTGTTTTATATTTCTCGGCCGTCTCTAAAGAATAGGGGTGCGTCTCCTACCACAATTCTAGTTGATACACACACACATGCTCATTAGTGTAATGAGCGAAACAACTTGAGAGAGCTGAGCCAGAAAGGGATCCGGTGTCAGCTATTCTATTTCATAGACATTTCACAGTATATCAACTCCATGGGTAAATTACATACTCTATTTTGAAAATTCTAGAAAATTTGACGCTTTGTACTTTGGACCATTATAAACCACAGATATATCTTTCAGGGAAGGAGTTCTCTCTAATTATGTTATAACAATGGCTTACACTTCTTTTCTTTTTTAAAGTCAAATTATTATGCGAGAAAGTGAATCAACAGATCTTCCATTTTTTACACTGACCGTTGGGAGAAAGTGAACTATGGCAGCACCATCAAGGACTTTCACATCAAATGAACTTGGAGGTTCTGTTGAAGTGTGTTGCTCAAAGCAATTTAGAAGATCAGATTTCTTTCCCAAGTACAGTTTTTTTCTTGTCAGATAGAGAAAGGAGTATGGGTGGTTCTCATGTCGAAAAAAGTTTTCCATATTTGCCCCTCTGTGATGCACAACAATGTTTATTTTAAAGAACAGGGACACGTCAGATTTGAGCAAAGAGATATGCTCCTTCTGTTTCTGCCTTCTCTTGGTTGCAGGTGACCTGATTAGTTTCAGTGTATTTCTCTGTATTGGTTCAACTAAGACTGAAGTGTTGTATTCTTGGAACTGTTCCTTGCCTATCCTTTCAATGTTTCGCAAGTGTTGACCACAGAAGCATCCATGATATCACTTGAATCAAGTGTCGCCAATTCTGGTTTGTCATCTAGAAATGGATTGCCCACTTCACTGATAGTCTCAATCAGACTCGTTGTCTGACTTCTGGGACGAGATAATCCCTCCTAATGGTGAAACTGTTGATATTCTGGAGGAGGCTTACAGATGTTCTCCTCTTCGAACTCCTTAATTAGTTGTGCCTGTTCTGAACCATTAACCATCCACTTTTTGAAGGCCTAAAGATTTTCTGTTAGCCCCATGTCATCACCAGAGCCTTTCACTGTCTCATTGTTCTGCCCATGTGCCTGGTCGATGGGAATGCATGAGAATCGGTTTTTCTTCAATCTCTCTGTCAAAGGGTTCTGGCAGGCTTTCCATGTCCCGTATATGTACAGGGATCCATCTTGCACAGTTCTGGTGATCAAGTGCAAAGAACCAGGGAACCAGCGCCTTGAGTGACTCCACTTTATAATAGAGAGAGAAGTCTACTTCTCGATGAGCTCTCACAAAAGCGAGAAAAAGAATCTCAAATTGAAGAATTGAATTCCAGTATTGGGAAGTGGGACTCTTGCTCATCATCTCTTGTCTCCTGACATCTTTAGCCATCTCTATTGGGACTTTCCTGTTCATGCCTGTAAGCATCCTCTTGGAGTTTTCCTAAATCAAGGGCTGTCACCTGATGGGCATGTCTTGTTCTTGTAAGATGGGTTGACCGGAAAAGGAGTACGCTGTTCCAGCGGAGGTAATGCCAGCTTGTGTTTAAGGACAGAGGTCCACCCACGACTTTCCAAGTAATCCCCTACAGTATTCCACAAGGCCATTTCTATATGGAGCAAGGCCTCCGAACATGACAATGTATTTGTCTTCACCATGTGTCCAAAGCCATTACCTCAGACATACTTCGGCAGTGCATATAGGGTGCATCCAAGGCTATCACTGGAATCTAGTTAGGTTTGAGAAGCTGCGTTGCTTGGAGATTAACATTCATTCAATGCTTACTCATTGCTGCAGTAGCGGCCTTCTCATAAAACAGTGGTAAGAGATGTGTCAAGGCAGGCTGCACTGCACCTCTTTTAGATGCATGATGGGCTGACCATGAAATGGCATCCCCTTCTTCAACATATGTTTTGTCAATGCGCTTGGCTGCCTTTTCCATCCAACCTTCTTCTTTCACAGCTTTTTGGAGGTGACCATCAATTGATCTACCGGTCGATGAACGAGGTGGTTTTGGTTATAGCTACTGTTGATGGTTTTATTGCAACAGTTGGTACAACGGTTAAGCTGTCAGGTAATGCCAGGCTCTCCTTAGTGACTTCTGATGGTATTGTGAGTTTGCTTCAGGAGATCCTGTATCTGACGCTGTTGGATACTGAAACATACTAATGCCTGTACCATGGAAAGAACCAGTTGCAGTGGTGCTGGATGGGTTGTGATCAAGATTGTTGAGAGTACCAACCGTGAATAGTCCACAACGTAGTCCGAGAGTACACTAGCTGCTGTAAGTGTTTGCGAGCAAGTACATGATGCCGTCCTCATGTACTTGCTGGCAAACACTAACATCAGCTAGTTGGTTCTCAAGTTGCAGAATACAGTTGTAATTCACACATGGGTAAAACATGAAGCAGTGATAATTTACATAAATTAGCATAAATTTGCATTGAATAAAATTTGGTTCAGTCAGCTAGATATTTTATAGATATATTTCTTATTTAAGAATGCAGCATTTAGCGCATTTCTAAGATCTACGAAATACATGGTGTCAACTACTGTAAATATTTGCTCAAGGCAAAAAGACTGCTTATTTGCATAAATTAGCATAATTTTGCATGAAGATGATGTTTGGTTTGGTTGGTCCTGTGGTGAAAAGTTAAGCTGAAGACCTGAAATATATTGGGAAAGTTTGGTGCCTCAACCTTTGTGATATTCACAATACCAATGGAGTAAATTATATGCATAAATTACTGATGATTTGCATAAATTTGCATTTTTTATAATGAAGCTGCAATTTTCAATAATATGTCCAATGGGAAAAAATGAAGCTATAGACCTAATAAAGACATAGAGAAAGTTTGGTTCTTTTTTATGCATCATTATATTTGCAATCCATTGGAATAATGATTGATATTATTACTACTAATTTACATAAGCTAGCATATTTTTGCATGAAGATGCGATTTTCAATAGTGTTTCTTGTGGGAAAAATTGAAGCTATTGACCTAATAAATACATAGGGAAAGTTTGGTGCTTTTGTAAACTCTGTCCCCAGAATTCCAAAATATGGGCCTAAGAGACCTGACTACCGTACTATTATGTATGCTGTAGAATAACATCTTTATACAGCTTTTACAGACACATACTCTCTTTCTTTTCCAACTATTCATAATTAATCACATTTGATTTTCTTCATTTCATGTTTCTTAATGACAATGAATTTTTTTTTTAGACATGTCGTCTTTTCTTGATAATACTATTCACTCTATTCAACCTATCCTGTCACATCAGATTCAGGTGCTATCGCATAGTCACGGAGATCTTGGTTCTGCTGCATCCTCTCATTACGCAAGAGGTCTCTGCTCCATGCCAAATCTTCGATCACTGGGTCTAGGCAGTGTACAGCTGAGTGATGAGTTCTACTCAACGATGGCCTCTGAGGCATCAAAATCAAAGGTATACCCAAACACGTTTTGTATTGGAAACATTTCCCCCCCCCCCCCCCCCCCAATAGCTTCGCAATCTTCAAACTGAAAATATGTTGATATATGTTTTTCACATTAACAAAAAACAAAAAAAATCATTCATCATCATTGTCACTATTTGTTCAAATCAATATAATACTGATAATAATTAGGAGCATGAGTCATGGGAATAGACTGGATTTTGATTTCATAATGACATCAATTCATATACATGCATATTTTTAGAGCATGTATCCTTCAAATAGTTTTTAGCCTTATATTTTTAGGAATTATCTAAATTTTGTCAATAATCACAAGAAATTAATTTTACATGCGCATTGTAGATGGACGGATATAACACTTTTATTCTGCTTGAAAAGACAATGTCTCTCTTTTATAACTATGATTAACCACATTTTTTGTCTTTCGTCATCTTGTCTTTCTTTTCTCTTACCACCCCATTTCCCTTGGGCTTTTTAGCCCTCTCTTTCTATCACAATCTCTCTGTCTCTGTCTCTCTTTTTTTTCCTCTATTTCTCTCTCATTTTCTCTTTTCCTTGCTTTAAAAGACTAAGTAGAGGTTAATGATGTTACATTAATAACAATGAAAAATATGTAAATTAGATATGTCGTCTTTTCATGATAATACTATTCACTCTATTCAACCTGTCCTGTCACATCATCAGATTGAGAAGTTAGATCACAGGAACGCAGATCTTGGTTCTGCTGCATCCTCTCATTACGCAAGAGGTCTCTGCTTCATGCCTCATCTTCGATTACTGTTTCTGCACAGTGTAAAGCTGAGTGATGAGTTCTACTCATCGTTGGCCTCTGAGGCATCAAAATCAAAGGTATACCTAAACTCAATTTATATTGGAAGCAATTTTCTTTTCCCCCAATAGTTTTGCAATCTTTAAACTGAATATATGTGGATAAACGTTTTGCATAATTTGATTTTAAATGTGCATATAAATAGACAGATATAAATGCATGTTTTTAAGTGCATATGATATCCTGTAGATAGGCCTAGTATTCTGCTTTTTTGTGTGTGGATCATTCATTGTCCCAATAAGATATTACATGCACAAAATAGGTAGTAAGCAAATAATTACAGTTGGTGAAGGTGATGGGACAAGCTATCACTTCCGAGGCGATCTGGATGTAGCTATCTTTCCGAAGCGAAGCTGAGGAAAGATACCGTATACATTAAGATCGCCGAGGAAGTGATAGTTTGCCATCACCTGAAACCAAAAGGTGATTATTTGCTTTATATTCCACATTTCTTCCGTCATTTTAGAGCAACAAGTCATCAATTAACAGCTAGCAAACGGTGTACGAAACGTACAGTGTATGCAGTATGGTGGTGTGACCATAGTTCGAGCGTGACCAAAGTCAATAAAAGCGCTTAAAGAGGAGAGCAATATGCAAGGTATACGATTAAAGTGTGTTGCTCTGTGTAGATAGTACTTCTATCTTCAGTGAAAGTGCGTGTAGATAGTAGTACTATCTACACAGTGCAACAAACTTTTCTTCCATCAATGATGGGCGAACTATCTTTCATCACGTGATTTACTTTTGACCAATCATAGAGCAAGATTTTTAGTATGTGGAATTTAAACAGATATAACATTTTATATCATGCATCAACAATTTATTGGTTTCTGATTGGTTGAGAGCTCGTCAGGTGACAAGAAATATTTCAACTATTTTAAGGTTGCTCTAAAAAAGTACTATATGAGAGTACTATTTGGGAGTTGGAAAGAAAATGTGAATTTTTTTTTTAATTGATTTTTTTTCTTCTTAAAATCTTAATTTAATGAAAACAAAATAGTCTTTTTTTAGAGATCATGTACACACAAAAAACAGGCCTGTCAACCCAGTGGGTTAGGCGGCAGGTTATAATGAACAATATATACAATAGCAAAGTACATTAACAATAACAATACAAGTTACAGTGTAATAATATATGTGATGACAAGGAGCACCGGGATAGAGAGAAAGGGAAAAGGAGAAAAAGAGAGCAAAACAGAAGTGGTATAGTACAGAACAGGGTAAAAGAAGAAGATTTTAACATTATAATAAGGAAGGAAAGATCCCCATACATGATTCATAAATGAATAGTGTATAACTGAATCGAGATAAATTACGAATTACGGTAAATATTGTTCATTGACATTTTTCTTGTTCTAAATGTTATTTTTTTCCCCCATTTTTTT